CAAATCCAACAGACCTTGGTGTAGCTTTAAATGGAACAGGAACATCAGAAACATTTTAACAAAGTAGAGTGATCGAGACATGATTGATTAATAAACTGTACATGTTAGTTGTTGGTTTTATATTGAAATCAAGTGAGATAATTGGGCGTTAACTGACTCATTTATCCTTGATAAAGTTATTAAATTTGACCTGAATCTTTCCATTGAATCTGATGTAATTGAGTATTTATTTATGTCAATGCCGAAATAATCCAACAGATAAAGTAGTTGAACTTTATCTCCGATGGTTAATGGTTGAAAAACCAATTCGTTGGACCAAAGAAAGTATAGAACGACATCTATCAACCAGTCATCAACATTACCTAAATGAAAAAAAGCTTTAGTTACGATTTGTTTCTTGAAGGGATAGGTTGATCGTACATCTCATTTTGATTTCAAGCTTTGGTTCGAGATATAAGGACCAAATAATGTTGACTTCAAGGTTAAAGATTTTGTAAATGATATCGTTGGGTGATGTTTTTAAGTCTGTATGAACACTGGCTTCAACAATCGATACTTAGTATTCGAAATCCAAAACACAATATCATCTTTCTCCTTATTCTTAATGAATGTTTCGACATAATCGCGTTGGTTGAATAAGATTGATGAAACCATCTGAAAGTATGTAAGAAAAATGGTATTTTATTAATTAAGGTTTTATTACACTAATTCTCTTTGTAATTGTTTGTCGACAAATGGGACAAGGACTTTTGTTTCTCAATAAAACTTCATCACAATCAATACATGTTGCTAAATGAGCACAAGGTAAATAAAGCATTGTTTGTCCCTTTTCAAGACAAACACAACATGAATCCTTTTCATTCGTCTCATAACTCGACTCTGCTATAAAAGGACATTCAGGTGAAAGTTTCTTATGAGCCACCATTGGATGTCCAGGTAATTTCCATCAATTGCGATTCTACAGAAGGCACATTGTACAACCCTTTCAAAACCGGTCCAGAAGAATCCACTTTCAACGAAATAGTTTTATGAGCTACCGGAGGAGGAGCATTGTTGAAAGAAAACACGGTTCATCCTTATCTTGAACAAGTTAAAACTTTCTCAGGGTTGATGACAAACTCGTCTTCGGAGAAAATTTGTAACAAATCATCCTGAGTCCTAACAACCCGAAACCTTCAATTTGGGAGGTAAGTCCTTGTTGGAGGTGGAATCAAGAATCGGTTTCGATGAATATAAATTCACACAACCAACTTTTTTCAGTTTCAAGTTTGGTTCTTTTCCATTCAAGAAAGAACATTCTGGACTGAAAAACTTGTGTATATACGCAATGTCTTCTCTCAAAATAGAAAGATCAAGCTCAAGTCCACATGCAAAACATTGAACACATTCTTCCTTCATAAAGAAACCATTTTGAAAAACTGTGACCCATCTACTCGGAGCCCATGGACATGTTAAATATCTATTTCTTTCCTGTTTCATGAAAAGATATTTTTCAAGGGCAGCTTTCATGGTAGGACACTCCCAAACTTCAAATATTGGTGAAAACATTACCTTTATTTCCTGAAATGAAAAAGAAAAAATATCAATGTTATAACAAAATTTTATTTAATAGAATTCTTTTCAATTCTATTTCTTTTTTCATGTTCAATGTATACAATCGATGATCAACACATTTCTTCATTTTGTGTCTCAAATATCTACACTTGATTAACCAAGATTCAGCTTGACTGACCCTTGGGCACTTGAAAGTTGAGGCAAATATACAAAGGTTTACATATTTTTCCTGGTTAATTTTACAATGAATTTTTCTACTATCATCAAGTGATAATATTTTGTTTTTAGAGCATCGGTTACAATGAATTGTTTTGAGCTCCATTCTTTTGTGTATCTTTTTCAAAAGTTTAACAAGTGATGAAGCTAAACAAACAGAACCTGTGTTCTCTGTTGGACAACAATCGTTCTTAGGTATCGAAAGGTAGCGCTTCATTTGAGAATCAAGTTTGTCCCGTTTAAGTATTTTTTCAAATGACGAAACCTTTGAAGGAATTCTCGAACCCGAAATCATAGGAATGGAAGAAACCGTTTCCGAAACTATCTTCATCTTACCTGAAGCAAAAGAAAGAAAATAGACAAAAAGAAATAAAAACAAATGTAAGTTTATTCATTAATAATATTTTGTATAAGAAATGTCGATATAATCATAAAAAAGCGGGTCATATTCATGACAAAAGTTGTAAAAGGAACGATTATTGATTATGAACAACCAACGTTCATAATCAATAGTTGTAATAGTGTTTAACAGCTTTTTCTGCCATTCAGCATCGAAATGCATGTAGATGGTGAAAAAGTCTGTTATTTTAAATCGAAAGTCTGCAAGATTAATCGGTTCATTATCTTCAGGATCTTCCAAAATCGTTACTGAATCGATAATATTCGATTCCTTAACGATCTTCATTTTAAGAGGTGACATGGGATATGCTTTAAACATTGTATTTACCTGTATGAACAAAGATGATTAACAAAATATTGAAAGAATATCAATGAATATCAATGAAATTAATCAAGAAGATGGATGAAAAATGCAGATCTGAATGATGATGTGACCAATTTAAAACAAAGGATGGAGAATTAGCTGATAAAGGTGATGAAGGGTATCAAAGGTGATAAAAGACCAAACGTTATGGTAATGATGATGAAAAGAGGACCAAAAATCGAAAAAGATCAAAAGGAACGAACAGCAATAAGATAGATGACAAAGAGGACCAAGAGAATACTGATGAAAATGAATGAATCCAACGGTGAATACAGGAAAAACAGTATATTAAAGTAGAAAAGAAGAAGAGAAGACTGATGATGATGAAGTGGCCAGAATACGTTGAAGTTAATGGTGAAAAGACTGGAACTGAACTGATGATTTTCTCTCTTTCTTGCTTTGTTTTTATACTTTCGTTTGAGGAAATAATTGAACATGTTTGTATTGTTAAAGCTACGATTGTGATTGAGGAAAATTTTCAATAAAAGAAAACAAACATATACAGCCTTCACTTTACTAAATTAATTGAAATCGTGAAGTACCATTTGATTAATGATCAAATAATCCTTGACTGTTTGAACTTTTGACCAATAATAAATCATGAATATCCTTAAGCTGTCAAACTTGAATTGTTCGTAGTTTTTCCTTGATGTTAACTGATTATTGATACTAATGGTCATTGTGGTCCTTAAAATTTTTCAACATCCTTTTCCGTGTGTTGGAAATGTATGTACATCAATGAGTAATTAGAATTACCCTTAAAATCAATTGATTCAATGCTAAATGCTATTTAACTACAATTGATTACATTGAGGACAGGCTTAAGTAGGTCGCGTTATCGAAAATTTTTTTTTGTCATTAACCGATAGGGCATAAAGTGTTTACTTTGTTGGTACTGTGTTTTTCAATGAAACGTCAACATTTCTAGTAATAAGGGCAAAAATCAATTGAAAACATCTAAAAAGAATAACGGCTGATAACACATAGAACCCAACGTGTTACTGCAACTTTAGACACATCAGCTTGTAGGGAATTTTATGCCGGTCAAGAGGCACTATTGTTGGTTCGTGCAACACAAACCGTTTAGGCTCTAGAATTCTTTGAAGTTTAATAGGGTCACGTAGTACCCCTCTTCAAAAATCGTCCGATTGCAACATGCTATATATCATCTGAAAGAGAATAAAAAGTTGATCATTACGACATAAAAATACATACTGAATATGACACTGATTCTCTGTTAACAACGTTTCTTTGGTTGTAAATAGCCCATTTGGGGTAACTTTTTATTCTTGGTACTAGAATAGAATCCAATATATTTTCTGAATTGTGACAGTAGAACAAGTGCAAAAATGAAATTTGTTTTGAAATCAGAGGATAAATAGAGGAGATTTACATGAAAATGTCTTTGTTCATAATTAACGCCATCTATTGGTAACAATTAGCCAAATGTCAATTTTCTTGATTTAATTTATTCATTAAAAGTTGACAAATCAATCAATAATTGGTCTAAATTTCAATAAGTCATTGATCTGTCACACGGGGTGAATGGCTGTGTCATTTTGTGTACTTTCACTACTACTAAAACTTTAATTGTTCAACTTTGTGTTCAGGTAAAAATCAAGATAATCAAATCAAATCAATATGGTTAACCGATTAATTAAAAAGGACGATAAATAAACAATTAAATGTTGAGTAATTAAACAGATAATTAACCTTGAACTTGAAAAGGAAAGTCAAACAATCAATGAGTAACCAATGAAACTACAATTAATTGATAACAATTAAGCTTTTACTCTAAGGTTAACCAATGGAGAGAGAAACAAAAATGATAAACTAATCTGATTGGGAACAATTAAATCACAATGAGAAGAGCAAATGATCACAATTAAAGAACAACAATTAACCAGAAATCGTAAGAAATTGAAAAAAGGGAAACAAAAGATAATCAAATATTAGATTAGGTCAATATTAGGAAGAGAAATGGTGAGAATTATCATCTTTTCATCTTCCATCATCTTCACTTTTCATCACTTTTCTTCCTTCATCATCATCATCTTCCAATAGATAAGTGACCAACTTACTCTTTCTCATAAATATCAATACTAATCATCATCATATTGTCAATTCAATATCAGTTAATTGAATGAATTGTTATAACGAAGAGAGGGAAAAAAATCCACTCGAGTGGTCATGTAAAAGAAGCGGAAGTGACCATTAGAAAAAAAGTTCTTTTTACTCGAAAGGCTCTCTCTCTCTCTCTCTCTCATCTACCTGGACTTGATCCTTTCTTTCATCCTCATCCTCATCATCTTCATCTCCTGTTGTCAAGTTTCATCATCACAAATTGAAGGAAGTGATAACTTTTTAAACTATTGTGATAGTGACCAAACAAATTACAATCCGATCTCAATTTATGGCGGAGGTAAATCAATTTGATTAGAAATTAGTTATTTTTAAAACAATATTTCGGGAGGAACCAATTAATTGATGATAAGTGAGTGAGTCGGTGAGAGAGTGAGAGAGAGAGAGATCAATTTTCGTGGTCTCCATTTTGTTCAGATATAAAAGTTTGATGTTCATTCATTAAAATCAGTTAAATTTCATCGGTGTTTCAATTAACTTTGATTGTTGTGATTAATTTTTACTTTGCATCCATTGACAATTTAACAGAAAGATCAACAACTGATTGTTGATTAATAATTTAATCAAAATCTAAATGTGTTAATTTATTTTTCAACATCTTCTTCTAGTTAATTGTTTCTCGATTGTTAAAAGTAAACATTTAAGTGTAAATTTGTTAACTTTGTGTGTTAATTATCAGATAGATTTGGTAAATCAAATAACTGATACGTTAATTTGAAACAATTAACGATGAAGTGTAATCATCATTTAAGATCAAATTATCGATTAACGGAACGTCCGTTAATTGCCCTTTTAATTGTTACTCTTTGTTGGATGTTATTTTCAGAGACAATTAGACCGACAGAAGGAGGTAAATTGCTGGCAATTAAGAAATTGAAAAAAATTCTACCGCTATTAGCATTGATGCCAAAGTAAGTGATTAACGAGAAAATTAATTCTCACAACAATTAAAACTAATCAACTTTTACTTCTAGGAAAAAGACAATCTTGTTACCACTTCCAATACCATTACCATTACCATTACCGTGAGTATTTTAAATTGTTTGACTAACAATTAGACATTAATTTTGAGAGTTTAACTTAATTGCTAATCAAACAGAGTGTTAAAGTTTACCAAACAAAAGGAGTTACCAGATTTGAAAAGTTTGCTAGCTAAATTCATGAAAGCCTCCGGCGGCGGTGGCGGCGGCTGGGGTGGAGGTGGAGGCGGTGGTGGGGGAGGTTGGGGTGGCGGTGGCGGTGGCATGATGATGATGCCGATGCACGAGATGCAAGGGCACGAGATGGAGATGCAAAGTGGGGATTACTCATCGGGCGGCGGTTCCATGGGCGGTGGAGGTGGTGGTTGGGCTTAAAGACAATTGTTCACATGTTCAACTGTTAATTGTTCATCTAATTGTTCATCTAATTAACTAATTTTTCATCAAATGTTAAGTATTCATGTTAATCATGTTTCTTTTGATTGACTTGATCATCTTTTGTTGGCTGAGCCAATTTCAAGTCTGTATTTTTATCTCAACAATTTGTATTGGTTGTTTACCATTAAAATGATAACTATTTAATTACCAAATAATTGTACAAATATTAAACTGATTGCTGTTAATTGGAGGGTCATTGATATAATTTGGTTTACGTTTTTATAAAAGAAAATCGTTTAATTATCATTTGAGACCAATATGTTGCTGTTGATTAAATTGAGCAATAATTATGAAAAAGTGTAAATATTGATTAGTTTGTAGTAGAAGACAAAAAAAATAATGAAATTTCTGATCAACAGAGATTAATATTGAAGGTGAGAAAACAGTTTGATTGTCAACAATCAGAGAGTAATGTTGATTGGGCGAGGGAAAATGCTATCGTGTCCAATAGCATAGAAATCAGACTTGTGTTGAACTAAATCACGAACGGATAAATCACAAGATAATCCAGTTTTGATGAGAGTAAACTCGTTTTCAATTTCATCAATTTTAACCACATTGTTGGTATTGTTGAAGCCGATCAATTTATCGCCAATCAATTTCATTCTAGTAATTGGATTTTCCGTGTCAATTTTCATTGATTGAACTTCACCATGGGTATTACGAGTATCAATGACATGAAGAAAACCATCAATAGTTGCAATAGAAACCATGTTAGAATCTCGTTTTGACCATTTCAAACAATTGGCTGGTTGGTTTAAGGTTGTATGTACACTTCCTGATTTACTGGCCCGAGTATCCCAAAGTGAAACATAATTACAGTCGTCTGTAAAACCCTGGGAAAGATATAGAAAAAAGTAGAGAAGAAAACAAAGATGAGAGAGATTTATAGATAGAAGTCAATAGGTCAAAAGAGAAAAAAGAAAAAGAAATTCTCACTTTGCTGCAAGTAATGAAAATATGTTTATCCTTTGGAGAGAAATCAATGCCTGTGGGTGTAAAGCTACTGGCCGAATGAAATCTATCGGCCAACGAAAAGTTTTTAAGCTCAAGTGTAGTCACACTGAAAGAGTCAAAAAGAGAACAATCAAAATTAGTCTTATTTAAGGTCATTTGAAGAGAGAAAATTTAAGAAAATCTATTACCTATGGTCTTGATTAGAAATGACCATTGAAGATTCATCACAATTAATAGCTGAATCTGTCGGTGGACCAAACTCTGAGAATGGAGTTTTTTTAATGGGATTCAGGTTGAAATCTGATATTACAGCCAAACCCATGTCATAAACACCAATCAATTTGACCCCAATGTCAGCGGCAATTAAATGACCATTGAAAAAAGTTCCACAATAACAATCAACTGATTTTGATAGTTTACCCGCAACTGCATCTTCTATACAATCAAAAGAATTGCAAAAACCATCATCTCGGTAGCTAAAGATTGTGTTTGATGCCGTGTAAATTGTTTCCGTCTTATCGGAGCACAAAATTTGTACTCCACTAAATTCATGGGCAAGTGGACCATCAGAAAATTTAGCCAGTTTCTCATTATTATCGAAAACTTTAAAAGAATTGGCACTGAAAAAACTATGAAAAGGTTTTCGGTTGCTTTGATCATCAGGAGTAGCAGAATTTGAAGCTTCTGCTGGTCTGGAACGAGAATGGTAACGAGATTGATCAATAATTGATGACATTTTATAAAAATTGTAAATCACAAAGCCAAGAGATCAATGGACAAATCAAATAATCAAACAATTAAAGAATAACAATCAATTGAAATGAACAAAGAAAAATAAATTTCTTTAATAGAAACAGATGAAAACAAAAATAAGCGAAGAGCAAAAAAAGAACGAATTTAGAATTCAAAAGTGCTGCCATCTCGTAGAGAAAAAGAGCTAAAAGAAAACCAGAAAAAAACTTTTCGAGTTGATCGACAATTAGATTGTTTCGAGTCGACAATCAATAAACTCTCGAAACTTTAATCTAAATAAATTAAGCAATTAATACAATTGGTACAATTTGTGATTAGACCTTTTGATAAGCTCCAAGTGCCCAATCACCGGGAAGATAAATTGTATTGACTAATTTCAACTAATTGGTTTATGGTTCGGACGTTTTTTTATTGGAACAATTAATTTGATAAAATCGAAGATAAAATTTTTACTGAAGGTTAATCATTCTAATCAAATGAATAATGAAAGAGACCCGAAAATGTTAATTGGTTGAATTGATCATCAGCAGAATCAAAACAGAACTTGTAATCATAAAAGAGGCTTGGAATTGATTAGTAACCAGTTTCCCAATTGATTTGTAATTCCAAAGGTTCGCCTTTTGTAAAATGTTCAAAATTTCTGCTAAAAACTTGAGCGAGATCTTTGGGCTTAGTGAGAGCCGAAATGTGAGGTGTGATGACCACTCGAGGATGAGTCCAGAGTGGATTATCAGGTGGAAGAGGTTCCGTTTCAAAAACATCAAGAACCGCGGTTGAAATCCAACCATTATCAAGAGCATTGATTACATCAATTGAACCGATCAAAGAACCACGGCCAACATTGATTAAGGTCGGTTTTCGAGCGGAACAAGTTTTCAGAGCCTCACCATTAAGTAAACCAATTGTCTCCGGTGTATCGGGTAAAATGGCAACAATATAATCAGTATCAGTTAAAGCTTCATTTAGATTGGTGGTGAATCGTTCAATTATCCGACCGACCTCATTTTTGCCGGACTCACTTCGGGCGAAAGCGGTGACATGACAACCCATGGCGGTGAAACATCGAGCCATATCTTTACCAATCGCACCAAATCCTAAGATTGAAACTTTCAATTCATCAAGCGAACGATAAATCAGTCCATCTTGTTGTTTTAACAAAACTGACCAATCGCGAGACGATTGATTGTCACGAAATTTGATAAAGTTTCTTTCGATACCGATAATATAACCAAGACAATAGTCGGACATCAATTTGCCAAAACTGGGACCAGAAAATCGGGTCGCAGGTACAACCGGAAAGTGGCCTGGTTTCAAAAATTTGGGTAACCTTTTGAAAACCGTATCGACACCAGCGTAAGTCCCTTGGATCCATTTAAGTTTCGGACAACTAGTGACCAATTGAGGCCAATACATATTATCAGCGATAATTAACTCAGCATCTTTTAATTTGTCTAAATCGCTCGATTCCAACCAATGTTCACGTAAAAATATTCCCTTTTTAGATCCACTAATTGGACACAATTTAAAGGTCACATTTCCAGCCGATGGTGGATACAATTTTTCCAGTTCGAGCTTCACTTTATCAGCATTTAATTGTGATAAAATATAAACAATTTGCGACATTTTCAACTGTAGAAACGTGAATAAGACAAACACAGGAAAGTTAATAGTCACTGGAAAATCACAATTAAAGTGAAAACAATTTGTTTCTCTTGATTGTAATTGGATGTGAGAGTTGCTACAATCATAAATAAAGAAGACCTTGAGTTTTAATTGTAATCTTGATTATCTTTGGATACATATAGGGAGATGGGAAAGTTTATTCAAGGAGATTTTTTCTTAGTAAATTGGTTAACAATTTAAGTTAATCAATTTGTTTGAGACAATTTAAACTTAGAAATTGTATCAATTCAATTCAATTGGGATTAGATTTATTTGCTTGGTAAATTGTTTCCATTTCATTTTGGTTGATTGTTTTTGTTTCAGTTTCGTTTTCATTTGACTAATTGTTCATCTCGTAAATTGTATTACGTTTTTGATTGTTCAAGGTTATTAAGTTTTCCACATGTAGATTTAAACATGATTCTTGTTCAATGATTGGTGATTAATTTATTACTTCGATAATCTCATTTTATCGTTTACGTTGATTGGATTATTTCATTTCTAATCAATCAATTATGTACATGCTTGTTGAGAGTTAATTGTAATTATGGTTGATCAGTTTAAGAAAAGAGTATAAGTTGATAAATCGAAGCCGAAATTTTGTCCTTTAATAGGTTTACAGTTTAAACTCTTGGATCCAAATGTCCAAGATTTGGTTTATGTATAAATTAAACACAAAAGGAAGACCGAGTTATAGAAAGAGAGGTAAATGATTAAATGACCAAATCGAATTAACAAATTAACTGTTGCCAAACAGTAAGATGGTGGAAAAATGATGATGATGATGATGATTTGTTTGTGAAGAGAGAGAAAGAGAGTAAATCACAATTTAAATTAGAAAGAGATACAAGATACAGAGAGAGAGAGAGAGATTGAATTGATTTCAAGAGGAAATTTGTTAAAATTTTGGTGTAAAAAGTAAGAACAAAAAGAAAACCAAAGATTTAATTTTCGCTAGCTAATCAAGTAGAATATTTTTTTTAGATCAATTTACTCTCTATAATAGCGAGTAGAACTATTTTTCCCTTTGAGGCCTGTGGTGTGTGTGTGTTTGTGTACAGTGGGATTTCTCGTTGTAATTAACTTAATTTTGATTAGACATAATCAAAGACTCGGCAGGTTCCGTCCTCGGAAGAGGTTAGTATACAATCTTTATCGGCAGCAAATGAGAAATCTAATATTTGATCCTCGTGTCCAGATTTGGTTGAAACAAGTGAACCATCTCGACCATCAACTATCCTTAAAAGACCATCTAAACCGGCACAACAAATTAAATAAGGGACATTGGGACACCAGCCGATCTTTGAGATACCTTGATCACATTGGAAGGAGTACTTTTTAACCTGGGAGTTAATATCCCAGAATTCAAGGAGTCCATTTAGTGAACCAGTCGCTAAAACTGGATGAATTTCACTAAAATCTAGACTTTCAACTGAATTTGAAGTATCAATTGTTTTCTCATCATCATTTATTCCACATGAAAGATTGCCCACCACTTTACCAGTTTGGGTGCTGATTAATTTTGCTGTTGAATCAAGTGATCCAGAGGCTATTAAAGAGTCATCTTTTTTTACCTCTAACGAGATAACTGAATCTTTATGAGCAGAAGGAGGTTTAATTGTATAAATAGGCTTTGATATCACTGTATCCCATATTCGTATGGTACCATTTTCATAACCAGTCACTGCTTTTTGACCATCTCTGAAAAAAGTTCCAGCCGGATTATCTGCACCAGGGCCTCTCAAGTCTTTAGTTGTATAATCTAATGAGAGGATATAAGTACAATCAGTTTGAGTACCAACCATCAAAGTTTCAGGTAAAGTGGGATGCCATTGGAGCCAATTAATATCTGCACCAATATCATAATCATAGACTCGTTCACCATTTGATAGACTACACACTTGAACATAACCCTCCATGTCAATTGCAGCAATAAGTGTATCATCACAATTAAATCCAACATCAATTACAGAATCTTCAAAATCCAATTGACCAACCACCTGAAAACTATTTGTACTCCAAATGTAAGCCTTATCATCTTCTCCTCCGGTGACTGCCAGATCACCTTTAGAATTGAGAGAGCAACAAAAGACTGGACCTGAGTGACCAGCAAACCTGTTCAACAAAAAAAAAACAACAACAGAATAAGAAAACGCACAAATTAATCTCTACGATAATCAAAGAAAACAAAAGAAACAACAAACAAAAAAGAAAAAGAAACACAAAAGAAAAGGTTAACAACACAGAAGCAAAAGAGAAGAGAAGAAAAAAAAATTCTAATTGGAAAAAATTAACAACATTAACACTATCAAGAAATGAAGACACAATTAAAAAACACTTGCGAACAAGAGTCGATACAATTAATTAAAAATCAAATCTACTTACATTATCTATCTAATTATAAAAATTTAACCAATAGCAAAGAAAAGAGGTTAAAGGTTAATTATAATTAGCGAGGTGAACAATTAATAAATTGTAAAGAAAAGCAAATCACCAATTACACTTGTCTCGCAATAAGAAAACAACAAAACAAAAAGTTGCATCTTCTTTATAGTCTCAATGCTGCCACCTCAGAGTTAATGGAAGAACTTAGAATGAGAATAAATTAATTGTTCGCTGAGAAACTAAACTAATGAAGATAATTAAAGAAACAACAATTAAAAAAAAAATAGAAAACAACAAATTGAAACAACAATTAAAGTGAAACAATTAAGACAAGGATGTTGATAAGATTAAAAAGCTTAAAAGTTTAAAGTGATTTCGGAAAAGGAGAAGGTTGAAAAAAGCGCTTCTTTTAAGTAGAAGGTTAACTCAATTCTGATTGGTCGAAAAAGTTCGAAACTAGTGCCTCCTGTCGGTTAGTCTAATTGAAGGCGTCGTTGGATTTTTTTTTTATAATTTTCTGTTTTTCTCTCTCTCTCTTGATGTTGATTGAATTTTCATCATCATCACCATAATCATCTGTGTGTCTCTGGTTAATTATATTTTTTATCTAATTCACTAATTAATCTAAAATAATCTAATCCTTTAAATCATCTTAATCTATAGAATATTAAACAAAAATTCTAAGGTAAATTACCTTGGACCGTTTTTGTGTGTGTGCTCTCTTTCTCTCTCCTCTTTCTATCTTATTGTCTCTTTTTCTTTTCTCTTTCTTTATTCTCTGTCTATTTTCTTTCTCTCTCTTTTTTTTCTTCTTTCTAACTACTTGATATATCACCTATCCTCTCCTTTTCCTCCTTTAATTTTTATTTTCACTTTCTAATTATGGTTGATCCAGCCAATGAACAACTCAATATTGACTCTATCATTGCCCGACTATTAGAAGGTAAGTTGATTTTTCTGCCATCTCTTTCTATCATCTTTCTCTCTGTCTGTCTCTCTATATTTGTGTGTCTTTTATTACTCTAAAAAATATCCTCTCATTTAGTTGAGAGAAATTTCAATCGGTTCTTTCATCTCTTGCACATTTCTTCATGGTGTATGTGTATATACTTGATTCAAGATTATGTTTTAAGGTTTTTTGCCTTAAGCCAAAGCATTTCAACAGCACCAGTTCAAACTATAAACTTGAAATCACGGATAATATATCCTAGCTCACTAATCCGCCCTTTTTACTACAAACGCCATTTTTTTCATCTGTTTACTTTCCACCTTCAATTTCTCGGTCAAGTTTGTTTGCAAATTTTAACTATTTCAATTTTCAATGACTCTTTTTTTATCTTTCTGGGTTATCTGATAATCATCATTCTCATCTGAATTTCGTATCTTTTATCTCTTGTATTTTTTTTTGATGAATTATAGTTCGTGGATCCAAACCTGGTAAAAATGTTCAATTATCGGAAGCCGAAATTAAAGGATTATGTATTAAATCAAGGGAAATATTTTTGAGTCAACCAATCCTACTGGAATTAGAAGCACCTCTCAAGATATGTGGTAAGATTTCCACTTGTATCTTAATTTAAATGTAAATGAAGGAGAGAGAGAGAGAGAGGATTGATTTTTATACCAACTAAAAATAATCCTTGAAAAATTATTTCTCATGTTGTTTATAGTAACCCAATTAGATTTTTTTTTCACTTGTCTCATTTACTCACCTTTAGCCTTCTTTTTTCTTTAGTCTAAGTTGTATTACTAGCGGATGATAATGAGTCATTTCACCTTTATTATTTTCTATTTTCACTCTTTGATTGATTTTTTTTGTAGTGATTCTAATATATATAACAGATTTATTAATATTTTCTTTTTTTCTATTTTTTCCTTTTCTCCTTTAGGTGATATTCATGGTCAATACTATGATCTTCTACGTCTATTTGAATACGGTGGTTTTCCACCTGAAAGTAATTATTTGTTCCTAGGAGATTACGTAGACAGAGGGAAGCAATCTTTAGAGACAATCTGTCTTCTTTTGGCATACAAAATTAAATATCCTGAAAATTTCTTCTTATTGAGAGGAAACCATGAGTGTGCCAGCATCAATCGGATATATGGTTTTTATGATGAATGTAAGTAAAATGTTGATTTTGTTTCTTCTAGCTTTTTTCTACTTCATTGTTTCTATGTAAACAATTGATTTTGTTATTTTTTTTTCTACTAAAAGAGTAAATTCATCAATTTTTATTCCTATTTTTTACTTTTTTATTATTTTTTTTCCTGTCAATCTTTTAGGCAAAAGGCGATACAACATAAAATTATGGAAAACTTTCACAGATTGTTTCAATTGTTTGCCAGTGGCAGCCATTGTGGATGAGAAAATATTCTGTTGTCATGGAGGCTTGAGTCCAGATCTTCATTCTATGGAACAAATTCGCCGTATAATGAGACCCACCGATGTTCCAGATCAAGGACTATTATGCGATCTCCTCTGGTCTGATCCAGATAAAGATGTTATGGGTTGGGGAGAAAATGACAGAGGAGTTTCTTACACTTTCGGTGCTGATGTTGTCGCCAAATTCCTTCAGAAACATGACTTAGATTTGATATGTAGAGCCCACCAGGTTAGATTATCTTCACTTTTCTTTTACAACCTTCTAAAAACATTATTATTGATTGATTTTCTTATTTTTTTATTTCTCTTTTCTCCCTCAACACAACTCTTCAAATTCAAGGTTGTTGAAGATGGTTACGAATTTTTCGCTAAACGTCAATTGGTAACATTATTCTCAGCTCCAAACTATTGTGGAGAATTCGACAATGCTGGGGCCATGATGAGTGTCGATGAGACTCTTATGTGCTCTTTCCAGGTTCGTTAAACATTCGATTCTGTTTACATGTAACCCTTTTCCTTTTACTCTTTTATATTCCTTTACATTTTAATCTCTCTATCTTTCTCCCTCTTGTTATCCCTTATATTGTTTATTTTTCCACTAACATTTTTATCTATTTTTCTTTGTGATACAGATTCTAAAACCAGCAGATAAGAAGAAATTCACTTATACTGCAATGAACAAATCACGGTCTTCAAGGTGATCTAAAGATTTAACACCATTATTATAATTTAACCAAAATCACAAGAAAAGTGCAAAGACATGTTCCTTTGCTTTACCTTCTCAAGAATCTTTTCCTTGGTGGTCTTTACTTTAATCTGGATAAACTTTTTTTCTCGATTTAACTTTCACTTGATAAAAACACCAAATAAACATTCAAATATTCTATCAATATTTGGAAAGTAAAAAAAATAACAATAATTTTTATCATCATTAATACAAATACATCCATTATCACCATAAACACACACTCACCACCGTTATCAGTTTAATCATCAACACACATACAGAACATCATAGAATCACATCTTTGTCATCATCATCATCGCATCTTCATTGGAATCAAAGTGTATTGACTGGAACATTCTGAGTGTTAAGCAATAAAATCACCATTAAAGTGATTATCTGTATTTCAATTAACAACAATCAACATAGAAAAGAGAGAGAGAGAGAAAATTTCTCTTGACTTCACAATCACCTTTAAGGAGTTAAAATACCAGAGAAAAAAAAGAGAGAATTAAAGAAGCCAGAAGATGATAAAGAAACCAAAAAGAAAGATGAAGAAGACACAACAATCATCATCAACAATAATCAATTTCAATGTTAAATTATAATCGGAAAATGAATCACAATCAGCTTTTTTAAGAGAGAACATCATTATCATCATTTTGATCTTGATAATCTCTTGATTATCAGAAACATCATTATAAACAGAGGAGGTTAGCAAAGATTTAAAAAGTAAAAGTGTGAAAAAAAACTTCTACTCACAACAAAATCAAATGATTTTCACTTAATCAACAATATATTATCAATAATAATAATGGTTTTTTTTTCACAATCAATGATGTTGATGATTTTTGTGACCTTTTTTCAATCAAACATCTCTGAGAATCTGAACAAATAACTCAAGATTAACAATCAACCAGAGTGTGTGTGTGTGTGTGTGTGTGTGTGTGAGAGAGAGAGAGAGAGAGAGAGAGGATTACCTTGAAGGGGTTAGAAAAAGTAATCAATTTAAACATAATGATTATAATTGTAACAATCAATTCTATTGGTAATGAATGTTGATGAAAAAAAAGCAAAATCTATTAATTGAATTCACAAGAATCATTTATTTCTAGATGAGATAATCAATCACCCAAAGGGTTAAATTGTGATGATCCAACATTAACCTGGGAATTAAAAATGATCATTAGTTATCATGAAAGAGAGAAAAAGTTTAATTCAATTAGAAATTAGATTTTTGATTAACAATCAGTGTATCAACACAATTAGTGAACGAAATGATTAAAAAACACCAAATCAACAGGCAAATTGTTCTGGGTGGCCTGTTGTTGATTACAATCAAAATTTCAAAGGTATTACAATGATCAATAGTTAATTGTTGCAAGTTTTAACTATTAAAAATAAATTGTTTTCACGCAATTTACCAATAATAATAATAATCGTGTGGAAAAAAAGTTAATCATATTTTTTATTTTGCTCGAGCCTGTTAAATGTTGATCAACATGACGACATTAAATTGTCACTATTACAATTGCGATGATTATGATTATAATCATGGAGATGAGAGTTAATTGTTTATATCATATTCTTAATCATCTTTCGTTTGGGTGATTCTGTGGGAAACAATTGATGATCGTAACAATTTTAATCACTATTATCATTGAGAATTATAATTAAACATTAAATACCAAGTGTGTTCCTTAATTGTTGTCAACGGAAGTTAATTTAAAGCCATAAATTTAATGATCATTAAGGAAATTAACAGCCATCTTTTTTAATCATATTAACCATAATTTCCCAATCAACTTAACCGGATTCGTTAATTTCTGATAACAATTAACCATTTACGTTTAAGTTGATTAACTATTTAATCGGATAATTTACAAATAAGTTATATAATAATGAGATTAATCAATCAATTAACCATTGATAGGAATTCTATGATTAATTAATCAACAATTGGAAAAAAAATTGATTACAATTAAGTTTTGTTCTTGATTAACTCTCAGGGAAATCAATTTCTTAATCCATGATTAATTTAGTTAAAAGTTAAATGATCGTAATCAATTTCAAGAGTAAAAAATGATTCCATTATAAATCACAACAATTAAGAAAATAAAAGTTAATCATGAGACGAAACAAGAAAAATGAAATATTTAACTAATTAAATGTTCAACACTTGAAAAGAAAAAGATACTCAATCAATTAAGTTAATTGTGATTAGAGAAAATCAAAGACAATTAACTTTATCCTCTGTCTTTTTCTTCATCTTTTAATTGTTAACAATTAAGTTGAAAACTTTCAAAGTTTCTAATTTTGATAAAACAAAAACTTAAAATACTGAAAATCATTTGATTGTTGATCATCATTAGCTGCTAATCCACAACCACAATCAAATTAAAGTTAAATTTAATATAATTAATCATCTATTAGATTCTAGATTTTAAACCTAAACTGAACAATTAAAGGTTAAGTTAAATTGATTAGAATCAACAAATAACCGTCAAAGTAAAAGATAATTAAAAACATTGGTTATTCTGAGAATCTAAATTGCTGCAAAAGTAATCAAATTTTGAGCTGATTATTTTTCATGAGATGATAATGATAATATTTATCATCATCATTATCATCCCCTAGTTTCATGTTAATAGTGTTGTCAAATCACCAAGAGGTCATCAGATTGACCCCTTTTATTAATAGACAAAGTTTTCAATGAGAAATCATTAAATGATCAAGATAAATCATGGAAACAAGTCAACGAGTTAATAGCAATTTATAATTACTATTAGATCATATGAATTATCATGAGAAATATATGATAAATATTATAATGATGATGAAACAAAAAAAAGAAGAAAAAAAATAATAAAAATCCATATTAATAGTTGGTAAATGTTAATAATAATAATCATCATCAAGATCATCATCACACTACTTATAATAATGATAAAATAATGTTCACTCTGAAAAAAGGTATACACATATTAAAAGGCCTGAGGCGATGTAGACAGATTAAAAGAAGCTGAAATAAACTAATAATCATGAAAGAGTATGATGATGATGATGATGATGATGATGATGATGATGATGATGATAGGCTTTCCATTGAAATATCAACAGACACAGAAAAGGTGATGATGATCAGATCTACTGAAGGAGGAAAGGTAAGGGAAGACAAGGAAGACAAGGTAAAAAAAGTGATGAGGAAGAGAAAGAGACAAGTGAAACATGATAACTGTGAATGGAGAGAAAGGTGATGATGATGATCTTCATGATGATGATGATGATGATGATGAAAAAGAGAGTAGACAAGATGATGTCCGTTACAAGATTTCTTTCTTTCTTTCTTTTTTTCTCGTCTCCTCGATTTACTTGATGATGGAAAAAGTTTTATGATGTTGACAATTGTAGTTGTTTCATGATGATAATAAGTATATATGGATGATGATTTGATGATTATGGTGACAGGGACGAAAAGCGCACTTATCAAATGTAACAATCAGAATCAACCAAAGGGTCATAATAATAAAAGAGAAAGAAAAAAATTGTAACAGTTATGATCACAGGTAAAGAACGAGATTACAATTTGGAGTTAATTTTTTTTCTTCTTCTTCTTCAATCATCAACAAAGGCCAATTTTCATCATCATCCTCACCTATTTCTTTATCTTCATCACCATCATCACATCAAAAAGGTTGAAGATAATGAAGGAAGAAAAAAAGAGATATTCAAGGTTTGTTACATTCTATTCAATTCTTCCGAATCAGTTAATCAGCTTATGAATTTTTATCCATCCTTTTTTTGCTCCTCATCATCATCGTCTTATTTATCGGTTATTTAACTCTCATCATCATCATTTCATCACTTTTCTTTTCCTCTTTGTAATTTAAATTATCATCATCTTCGTTCATAGATTCCGAGAGCTTGAATAGTTGGTTAAATTTCATCTTTTCCAATTGATTGTTGACAGGTAACGATTCTCATCATCTGGATTTACCTTTGATTATTGTTGGTTTACCTTTAAGTCATTTCTCATTCATGGTAACCTGTTAAGATTTGATGATATTTATTAGTTTAATTATTATGATTATTATGGTGTAGAAATAAAAATTATGATGATGATGATAATGATGATCAAAATATACACACTATGATAATATTTCTCATCATTTTATCACAATTTTTTTTCTTCTTCACCTTGACTCGATTAATAAAAGACTCACCTTGAAAATCAAGTTGATCTGTTGTGTTGATTGGTTCAATGAATTTCATCCGATGTTTATATGCTGTAGATTATCATGTTCCTGGTGTTGTTAACTGTAACAGAAGATAATTGAATTAAATTTCATCATAAATTTAAACCATTTTGATTCCATGTTGATTTACAATTGTCGAAGTTTTTACTTTCCGAATCAATTTTCTTTTTCTCTTACTCAACAAATCATTGGACACACTTTCTCAGATTTGTTGTTGGTGATTGTTGATTAAGATTTAATTTTCATCAGTCACTTTCAATTTTGTCTCTTTCTCTCTCTCATTGATTCTTTCACTTTAACACACTCAAATTGTCACCAAGATATTTCATTGTAACTTCTTCCGTTATATTTTGTTGATTAAAAATGTTTCCCAATCATTTCATTTTCCTCTCACTACAATCCAACTTTTGCTTGTCTATCAATTAGAATCAAAGGTTAACTGGTGATGGTAGATTAAGACAGAATTGAATGTGATTAAATTATCTGTGATCGTCAAGCATCAAAAATCCGATGATGATGATGATGACGAAGTGAAAACCTGGAGAATTGAAGAGAAGAAAAAAAGAGAGAAGGGTAAGTATCATAGAGAACAGAATTTGATTAGGAGACACTTTTAATCGTATTATTTGTATTAAAAGATCGTCCAACCGTAATTGTAGAGAATTGATGTTGATTCTGTTCAATTAAACATCAAACAAAATGATTAAGAAATTGAGAGAGAGAGAGATAGAGTTTAACTAAAAGGTAAATTCTAAGGGTTAACAAACTTTCACCTTCTTTTTTCAAGCTAATCCACAAACAAAATATACTTTTTATGCATAAACAGTATTAAATTTCTTGTAAGTAACTGGATGATCCGAGGTTATTTTTTTTTCATCGATTCTCTCTTCCTTTTCCTTAATTGTGATTCAATCTTTTTTTAGCCTTGTGTCAATTGCGGTTCCTTAAGGTTAATTATCCTTGTTAACTTTTTGTAGCTACCTAAAGAAAAGCAAAACAGTAAAACAAAAAACACACAACAAAAATGTAATAAATACATAACAATTAAGGGAAAATAATATGTATACATACGTAATTAGATGGGTAATAATAGACAAAATAACCTAAAGGGTAGTAAGAAAGAAAAACCAAAACAAAAGGAAACATTAATAACCTTGAGTTAATCACATTTTTAAGGCCTAACAATAAACATTATCGTTAACACCTTCACCTTCAATCTTATCCTTTGGGGTTTTATTTAATTCTGGAAACGTGAACACGATTAACAAATAATTTAAATGATCCTCATAATGTTGAAGAAATAAATTGTGGGTATGATTTATCAAAATAAATTAATGTTCCAATGACAATTAGTGAACAACACGATTAATAAATAACAAAGTGTTAACAAAGAAATTAATTAAAAGGGAAATTAGTGATTCGATTGAACAGCCAATCAGATTCGTCCAATTCTCCAGCTGATCAGCCGATTGGCGCTCAAATTTGGCTTTTGTTTTATTCTCATTCTTTTGTTTTGTTGTTTAATTTTTCTTAATTTAATTGTTTTTTTCTCGTTAATTTGTTAATTTCTCTAATTTCTAATTAGTCTTCTTCTTCTTCTCCTGGTGTAACTGTTAAAGTTTAGACTTTAATCTGGTTGGTCAGTTTTTCTTTTATTAGAGACAATCAATTGATTATTTTTCCACCTTTGGGTAAGTTATTGTTTCCTAATGTAATTGTATTTGTTTGCTTTGATTGTTTGATTTATTTTCTTATTAATTTTCTTCTTTTTCTTTTTCTACAGTTAATCAATATTCAATTAGATTGTCCACTATTTTAGATTCATCTTGTGAAGTGCAATCTTCTGGTCGGTTATTTTTTTTTCCTTCTTCTTTTTGGACAATCAACTCTTTTCATTTGGAGATCAGTGTTGGGATGAGACAATTATGATTCAAAGATGATAAATCAATACTTTTATCATCTTTATCTTTATGTTTACAGTTAGATATTATTATCATGTGAAAGAGGAATAGTAATGATATTCAGATGATATGACAGACGAAGAAGAAGAAGAAGAAAACATGAAGAAGATTCTTATGAGAGGACACACAGGTAAGAGAGATAAAGTTATCAACAGAATTTTAAATTAACGGTTTGAAATTTTATTCTTTTCTGATTGGTTTCAACTCTAATTTTATATTTTCTTCTCTCACCAGATGATGATTATGATAAAGATGTCGGATGAGATGTAAACTCTCATGTTATTCACTATCAATTAGACCCCTTAAATTGAGATGATCAACGGTTTTGATTATATATCAACATCTCATTTGCACATCAGGTAAAAGGAAACTGAATCAATCCACCAAAAGGAAAGTCAGGAAAACATGAACAAGACTCCAAGGTTTATTTTAAGATTGTTAATTCATGTGAATTAGATTTTTGTTTCTCTTGATTGTTGTTGATTTACACACCTAGACAGAGAAAGAAAGAGAGAGAGAGAAAGTTAAATTACCATGATTACCATTGACTTAGTACATTATCAAGGAAGAGGAAGAAAAAGAGACAATTATCATCATCATGTTACCATAAATACATCATGATGATGACATGTAGTATTTAGTATTGACGACTAGCAATTTATTTCGTAGTTTAATTCACTTGTATTGTGAATATTTTTTCCTTTAATTTCAACACTTAAATTGTCATCATTTATTATTTACAAACTGTTTAGACATAAATGATTGTCTCTCTTTATTGTTACAATTAACGGTTATTACAGTTTTCCTAGCCTACTTTTTACATTGTCATGTCAATTTGATTGTCTTTATGATTGTTCAATATATTAGACAATGAAAGAAAACAATTTATCTTGATTGTTACACTAATCAAAAAATGTAATATATTTTTCATTTCAATCTCGTTTACAGATTTCCAGTGATTTTTTGTTTTCCTGGTTTAACCTTTGATTTTACTCCTTGACCTGGTCTCTATTTTTTTCTGGAAACAATGATAAATCATTCAAGGTGATCAGGATCATGATGATTGAGGAAATTGTCACCTTGAAGGTGTGAATTAAGAAATAGAGAAAGAAAAAAACTACAAATTCTATCAAGTAAATCAACACTAATCATCACCAATTTTTTCCTTTTCCCATTTATTGGTAACAGTTCTAAAAACAGTTATATGCTTCTTCATATTCTTCTCACAATTAAGACACCATTTTAAGCATTTCCAAAACTAATTAGATAATTTGTTTAATTACCAAATCAAACAAAAGGTTAGTTACTTTTCCTTTTCCCGCTCATTTCTTTTTCCTTTTTTTCATCCTTTTTTCCTCCCTCGATTTTCCCGTTAACTAATCACTTTCCTTCCGGCTGTTTGAATTAAGAAAACACAAAGACAAATATCAATCAACTAATTGTTTCTTTTGATTGTTACACTAAACACCTAATCATAATCTTATGAGGACTTAAACCACACTCAAGAAACCAAGCCAAAAAACGTCCTCATGTTCAAATAACTTGATTATTGTTCAAGCCAAACAATTGACTATTTTGAGTTAATTAATTTCTCTAATCAACAAATACATGTATCAGCAATATTGCGATGGCAAAAAGGAAGCAGTTAACCAACAAATTAGAATCAATCTGATGGACAATTACATTAATCAACTGGATAGGAAGTCAATGGGATTACCTGTGTATTCAAGTCTTCATCTCCCTCTTTTAGGCCTCTCACTGTCTTAAGAGATTTGATTAATACTGTTGTTGTTGTTACTTAATTACTGTGAATTCACGTAACATCTTTTAATAAGTATAATATTTATCAACAACCAACACCTTTCATTATAGTTACATTCATTTGAAACAATTTTCCCATCACAATCAAATTACTAAACATGATTATTATTATTTTATATTCTTATTATTTAGTGTATATAATATTTTCATGTAAAGTTTTCAAAATCTGATTCACTTGGCTCTGTTCTTGATGATGATGATCATCATCAACATCTAAATTTACATGATGATGACAATGATGACATTTCTTGTGGTAGGAATCATGAAAGATTGATAATTTAACCAGGAAGATCAGGTCAGTCTTAATGTTGACGGTTTTTCTTATTCTCGTCTTCGTCTTAATCTTAAGATTAACATGTAACTTTTTTTTACTCTACTTTCTATTCATCACTTTTAGCTATTTCCACATGATTAACTATTATTAGGTAAATACTATGAAACTTGATATGATTTAACATCTTCATTTATAATAACACACAATCTAAACAATCACATGTAAAACTGATCTAAATTTAACCCTTTTCTTGACACTAACATGATCTCTAATTGAGTCTCAACAACAATTTGTATCACGTTTACTAAATTTACTATTGTAGATTCAAAGTTCATGTATATTCATGAACAGGAAGACATTGAGATTACATGTAAATTCAAGGGAAACAAGAGATGACCTTTTTTTCATCCTCATCTTCATGTCTTTACAGATCATCATCCTATGTCTTTTTTTTTCTTGGAAAAGACAATCATCATTTCATTGCCATCATCATCATCATCATCATCATCATCATCATCATCCTTGTCAACATAAATACACATTGGGATTGATTTAGCTGATGATTCACATTGATTGATATTAAATCACTGTGAAACTTTTACGATTCTCTCTCTCTCTCTCAACACATGAAGGTTGGAAAAACAAACAAGAAAAACCATGAGAATAACTTTAATTATAAAAACTAATTATCGATTGCGTGACTATGATAAACTCGAAGGCAAAATGATTTACAAAGCAAAAGGAAGAGGAAAAATGTTGTTGACAGTTTTTATATCATCAACAAGCGACATTTATAAGATGAAAGGATAATAACGATGATAATGATTAAAAATAATCATCCAACGAATATGGTGACAATTAGATAATAGGAAACAATTAAGATTAACATGATCAACAGATTAATCAACGATTTCCTCTCAGATTACCTTAATTTAAAAGGTGAAGATATCATTGTGTTAATTTTATTTTCTAATCATCATCTATTATAACGGTTATCATTTCTTTTCGACAATTATTTCATCAACATGAGGGAGAAAGAGAGAGAGAGAGAGAGAAATAAAAATATATTATCATCATCACGCAACAATCAAAATAAATGAATATATGTTCAGATAAATCTATTTATCTTAACAATTTAAGTAAAGCAAAAGTGCATTTATCTTGATTGTTGTAAAATTATATTAAAGTTTTGTTACATTTGACACGACAAGTTTAAGGTAAGAAAAACTTTTTTTTTTCTGCTTAATTGTTAATCCATTCAACTAGTGACCAAATATGTTGACCACAATTAAATCACCATTTTGATTGTCATTATTATTATTTATCTCCCTTTGTGTATATCTTTTACCGCTATCATGATGATAATGATTATCATGATGATCATTATCACCATCATCATCATCCGGTTTCATGAAAATCTCACTTACCTGATACAGAGTAATAATTTTATTGGCCTAGATGCAATTTAATTATGTTTGTCTATCAGCAATTAGTTAAACAATTCAATTCTTTACAATTAACCTTTCAATTTACCTTTCGCTTCACAAATCTACTCTATTTTCAATTAACTTTGAAAGGGTTACAACAATTGAATGAGTTTAAATTATCACGATTATTATTCAAATAATTGATCATCTCTAAATGATGAATAATTTGTATCTCTCTCTATATATAAATTAATAATATCACAATTAACATGATGATCGTATGATTTTTGTTATTTTGTTATATTATCATGAATGATTAGTGATTAGGGACAAGCTAATTTGATTTAATGATTAACTGTTACAATTACAATTGACAGAATTTTCAACGTGAAATAATAAAGTTGATTGGATTGATCATTTAATCAATTGAACAACTTTTCTGATTGATTGATTAAACTTCAATGTTAGTTATTAGTTTATTACACTTTGTAATGTTAAATTATTAATACAATTAGTAAATTATTTTACCTTTACCTCCCTTAGATTGTCAATCAATTTAAATTATTGATCAGCCTTTTGAATAATTGCCCAACAACATTATAAGTTAATATAGTCAATGTTAATCAATCAATCAACACAATCTAATTATCTGTAAATGTTGTTGATCATCTTGTTTACCAATGTCAATCAAATTGTTAATCACTCCAATTGAAGTTAACAAAATGATGATATTTATACACATACACAAATATAATACAAACAGTGTTACCAAAATGAGCAACAATTAACAATTATGATCACAGGAAATTAAGTAAATTAAAATTTAAATTGTCACAAAGAGATTCAATTGAAACTGTCAACAGAATCTAAATGATAATCAAATGATACGAAATTAGTGAGAGAGAAAAAAAATTTCATCGATTCTCATGATTAATAACAGAAAATTGTGATGATGATCAAGTTAATCAGTTTGATTTAAATCAAAGTCAATAATCCATAATGGAAACAACAATCAGTCAGTCAGCTGTTAATTCATTGACAATATCTAAATGATGCCACCCTCATCATCCACTATCACCTTAATTATCATGATAATGATGACAGTCTAGGCAATTAACTATTAGACTTGAATTAACAATCAAATTGACAATAATTAACCAAGCGAAACTCACTTTGAATGGTTACAATTAACTGATTCTTGTTTACCTTTTTTACTCTCACTTGATCATCTCAATTTCATCTTGCTCTCTTTTTTTATCATCATCATCATCATCTTACAGTTTTTTAATCATCATAATCATGAGTTAATTCATCTTGAAATCAACTTAATAAATGCTAATCACCTTAAATTATCTTAATCATGATAACTGTTGAGATTAAAATTCATCTTCTTTTGAAGGAAATTTTTTTTTGATACAATTTAAAGTTAAATCTTTTTCCTTTCAACTTTTTTTCTTCTTCATTTAATTTTAATTCATGTCCAATGATTTAAAGTTAATTTGATTTGGTTAATTTATGTAATTTGTCAAAATGTTAATCGAAACGCAATTTCAATCCTAGTTAATTGTCCATGGAAAACATGATATTTCAATCAGAATTATGATTCAGTTGATTAGATAAACAATGAGAGAAAAAAGTTTACAATTTAAATTGAAGAAAATCAAATTACAAGGAGAACCTGATTAATTACCAATTAATTGATTTTCCATGTTTGTCAATTTTAATCAAATCCCATTGAATCACATGTTAATTGTCACAATTAATATAAACACTAATTTTACCTTTTAAATGGTAACTAAAGGTTGACAAATTTTATATCAAAATTAAGGTGAACAGTTTAATTGGCTTTGATTAGTAAATGATAATTGTGATTAGTTTGATTTCATCTATCGATTAGTAAATGATATTAATTGGTTCACATATGAATTGTGATCAAGTGATAATCTAATTTGTTAACCATTTAACCATAATGATTAACAAATTGCTTCACAATTTGTCAACAAAATTTAAACTTGATTTGGACAATTTAAAATGATGGAAACACTTAATTACTTTAATTATCAGCATGAAATTTTTTCACAGATTAAGATGGGAAATAATCGTAATCGTATTTGATTATTTAGTAAAAGCGTAAAAAAGTTAATTTAGATTATCATAGTTGATTAAATAGCGTGAAGAGCATTTTGATTGTAATAATTAGATTAGTACAAGAGGATGGAGAGAGACAAACACAAATCACTTTAATAGTAATTAAATTAAAGAGTAAACATAATCAAATCAATTACTTTTTTCCTCGTTTAATCAACAATATTAAAAGAAGGAAGAAAAATGATCAACATGAACTTGAAATGGATTCTTTTTGCAAATTCATCTACAGAATCACCTGAACAAGGAACAAAATGATTTGCAATTGATTAAATTAATGGAAATTAATCAATCAAAATTGATTCCAATTGATAAACAAAAACTTAACCCTTTTTTTGGGTTCTAATTCATGAAAACAATCAAAGGAATCTCTTGATGATCAGACAAAACGACCAATTGAAAAGACATGAAAGAAATTGACTATTCCTAATTACAATTAGAATTACGAAATTAAGTCACAGAAACTAAACAATCAATTGGAAAGACGAAACAATTAACATTTTAATTTTGTTTTCTTTTCGTTGGATTTCAACGGTTATCCCGTTAGATGGCGACAAATAGAAAACTTCATATGTAAGTTGAAAAGTTTTTTCTCTTCATTGACTATTAATTATTATTCTTAATTGTCGCTAATCTGTTATTCTATCATCTTCTACCTGAACATCTTGTAATCTATGTGTGTACGATGATAATCTTTGAATGCACTTTGAGCCTTTTCCAGAAACAAATTCCAAATTCTTATCAATCATTGGTAACCTCTAAATCTTGACGGTGATAACCTAATCTTTGGTTACAAATCAACAAATAACAGCTACATTATTAGGTGCAATTGATCATCATCATCATCCTCATCACCCTCATCCTCATCCTCATCATCTGAACAACCTGATTAGACTAAATGATATTTTACCTTCGTCTTACCTACATCTCTCTCTCTCTTGATAATCATCTTCATCTCGCCAGCCCATTAAACTTTGGGTATGTTTTTTTGTGCCTTGTGATTAGACCTGAAATTATTTAATCATTGACTTGATTGACTTAATCAATCAAACCAATGATTGGGTGAATCACACTTATATCATATCTATGAATACCCTTGCATGAGGCAATGAAACAACAGTTAAAATGTTCAACGAAACCTTCAACAACAACAACATTAACCAATCATAACCTGTTGATAGCAACAAAAAAAAAGTTACAGTTAAATGAAAAACTTTGTGGTAATAATTAGGTTGAACTCACCTGAACATCAATCGGAAGTTTTTTTTTTACTTCTTCCATTGATAAATAAGATTAGATTGTTTCTTATTTCATCAACTTAATATCAACATTATTATTAGCATTTATGCTTAAAATAGTCGACTATAATTACTGGTAATAATCAATTGATTGTCGATTGATTGTTTTGCTTAAATAACTTCTTCCTTCTTAATCAATACAAACAAATGGCTCAATGAGAATCTAATTATTACCATAACTATTATATTCATTTGACAATCATCATCATATCTAATTGATGATTAGAAGATGAGATAATCTAATACAATTAATAGTATTTGATTAATCATTTGACCTCAACTCAGGCCTGGATTTTGATTGAAACACATCAACATTGAATTGTGATTAACCCTAATTGAAAAATTGAGTCTTGAATAATCAAATAATAGTTGCGATGATAATTGTAAATGATTCAAAGTAACTTGACTCTTAATTGTTTACTTTATAAGTAGTTGATGATTGAAAAATCAATGACAATTAAATGTTTCCTTAATTCAATTGGATTGACAAGAAAATCGATCAATGTTTTAATCAATGAATTAATTTTATATCATGTCATCAACAGATTAAGAGCCAATGAAACTAAATTAACATCAACTTTAAATGAACAACATCAATTGAAAGGTAATTTAGAAACAATTTAAATGACAATTAACTCATAAATTCAAGTGCAAGGATAAAAGGTACACATAATATATAACACTAATACCCTCACATTAACTAATTAATGAAGAGACAAGAATAACAATCAAATTAAGAAGCTACAATTAACCGGTAAAAAAAGTGAATTACAAGTTACCGCTAATAACAATTAATAATCAACCTTAATCATGAGGCTAATGATTAAAACTCTACTGTTACACTTGGGAAAATATTTGAGACAGAAAAAAATTATAACGGTAACTCATAATATCGTAAAGGTAAAGGTATGAATTAATGTCTACTGATGATGATAACTTGTGGGAGAAAGACAATGAAGATAATGATGATTATGAGATGAAAAAAAGAGCCAAAAACAATAAGGAAGCAAATGTAACTATGAGAAACTAAATTTGTTAATTCTAAGATCGCCCTTGACCTTACAGGACAAACGGTAAAGTGACCTTTGGGTTATGAATGTTTATATCACATGAAGGATGAAGATGATGGAAACTCATAAATCTCATAAATCTCAAGGATGAACTGGTGGTGAAAATAAGGCCAAATTATTGTTACTTAATCGACGAGAAAATGACCTGAAAAACTGGATCGCTTTGGTTCATCGGGTTTTATTAATAATAATCACAGTTTTATCATCATAATCATCTTGATTGTCCTCCTATTTATCATCATCTTGCTCTAATGACCATTTGATATCTCACTTATCATCACAACAATTGATAACTTTTTTTGCTCACCTCATTTTTCATATGATTGGGATTTCATGTTATCTTCATCATCAATTGATTACAAATCATCATCATCATCATCATCATAAACAGTTATCATCATTAATTTTAATCTCATCAGCTAAAAAATTGATTCAATCTTAAGCTTGATTGAACTTTCGTTTATCCTTTAATTGTAACTGTAAAAATCTGTAACAATTACACTAATCAACTGAAACAAAACCTACTAGATTAGTCTAGAATTAAATTTTCATCAGTCTCAACAATGAAAATATTATTACTATCAAATGATTAAGTTAAACTCAATCAACTATTCATTAATTGTGATTAAACTGAGTGGTTAACGATAGTAATTAACTTGAGACATAATTAATGGTTAAATGTTATCCAAATTGAGGCTCAAGCAATTTAACATTTTACCCACACAAACAAACAATTTAACAAAAGGTAAAATCAATTGTTAACATGATAAATAAATAATGAATTAATAAATCACCAACAATTAAGACAGAGAAAAGAGATAAATTGTAATTCTCCAAAACAAAAAAAAAGATCCACTAATTGTTAATCAAAGTCTCTTAACACTGAAATTGAAGTAAATAAAATGGAAAGCAATCAAATCAAGTGATCAGTAATCAACAATTAACTCTGATTCTCAATTCCAGCATATGGAGTGGTAATGATTAGTGAATAGGTAAACTTTCAGGTAAAGGTAATAAAAGAGGGACTCTAACCCAATCTTAATTGCTTTGTCAATCTAGTTAATCATCATCATCATCATCCTAATTCCCTATGTATATTATATACACACAGGTGAGAGAGTGAAAGGTAAATAAAATTTAAGGCGTAATTTGGCAAAATATCTCGATTGGAACCGGATTAGTTGATTGTCCCTCTGGCTAATTAGGTGTATGTACGTAGATAGAAGCTGAATCGAGATGATAATGATGATGATGATGATAAAATCTAAGATGCGTGAAAATTAAACAAAAAGAAGATTAAATAATACAATAAACTTTTGTTTCTCTTTCCTTGTTAATTGTTGCCTCAATTGAGTTAACAATCAGCTGAAAATAAAGGTAATCAGTTTGATGATTAGAATCCATAGTCAGTGAATATCCAGTGATTAAGATAAAACTAATTCAAAGGCCTTAATTGTTCATTTCAGTGTCTTAATTGTCTTGATTGTCTTGTACTCCTCCCCTATTGATTGTTAATTGTGTTTGTTGTTATTAAGATTTTTTTCTTCATTTAATTCATTCAGTTAATTCTGATTGATTTAAAAAAGTTTCACAGATAAAGATGATCATTCAATCAATTAACAACAATTAACTTATTAACACAATTATCTGATTGTTTGATTATGGTTAATTATTATAAATCATTAAGTTCAATGTTATTAATAATAATAAATTAAACTGATGATAACAAGTTAATTGAGTTAAATATTATATTAAACTAACGTTTCAATGATTAAATGAAATTGTAATTTAATCAAAAATTATCTAATTTAATTGATTGTCGTGTGTATATTTTGCACTTAATTGTAACTTGATTAGTGATTAATTAACATGGACATATAATTAGAGGTGAATCAATTTAGATTGACATCTTTTCATTATAATATGCAATCTAAATTGTAACAATTAACTAACTCAAGTGAAAGTGTGATTAAACAATTTGCATTTAATCATGTCAGCAAAGTTAAATAATGATTAAGAAAATCAATAATTACCTTACGGCAATTAAAAAGTTAATCATTAACGTTGATTATGATCAACAACAATTAATTATAACAGCAACAATTATCTCAAATTGCCTTACCCCTTTTAAATAATAACAACAACAATTAATGTTTAATCAGTTAAATATCATTGGAAAAGTGTAAAAAAATTTAACAATCAATTTGAACAATCTAACCACTGATTACAATTAAAACAAATTGTTCAATTATAATTGAATATACATGATTAAACAATTATTAGTTATAATTAGTAATTATCATCATCAGATTTTGATATTATTATTGTTAAGTTGATTTATCTTCAGTTGGAAAGGCAATTAAATTAAGTGTGTTAATCAACAACAACATACTAAGATATATATTATTTAATTGTAACAATAAATCAGTTACAATCACAAATTAACTGTTATAAAGTTGATTTACCAACAATTAAGCGATTACCATTAGCATCATCATAATCGTAATCATTAAGATGAAGATATAATCTTGTCATCATCATGTAATAGTAAAAAAAAAATCAAATTGTTGAGGTCAAAATCCGTTTGGATAAACTTGACATCGGATTAACATTTGGGAGACGGTTAATCAAAGTTAATATGATTAAATGAATGAGTTAAAGATGATAGGGAGCGGGAGAGAGAGAGAGAGAGAGATGAAGATGATGATGAGGACCTGCATCAATCTAATTATAAATCCAAGGGAATCCATTTAACTTTTACTTTCTTACCGAGATTAAGAAGAGGATTAACTTTGATTAGCTTGATCGATAGCGTGCTTACGATACCTTTGTTAGAATCATAATCATCTTTATCATTTAATCTTCATCACCACCACAATTATCATCTTCATCTTCTCTGGCATCTAATCTGTTTCCAATAATCCAATCAAATGTTATCCTTAATCATGTAAAAACAACAAAATGGATTAACAGAATTTCCTATGAGTTAATATATTAACATGAAAAAAGAGAGAAATAAAAATGAGCAACAAGAAAAAGGAATCAGTCAAGTCAAGGAAATTGTATAATTCCAATTGATTTTATCAAATTTCGAGCTTACAATATTCAATCAATTATCTATAAATTAGAATAATCAATAAATTATGTTTACCTTTTCGTTCACAATTCAATTAATTCGTTACCTGTTTTCCTTTAACATTTCAATCAAAAAATTGTTTTCGTTATTATTTCGCCTTCTTCTTGATTCATTGTCACGCTAACCAAGTGCAAACACGGAAGACTGGCCTTAGAACTGTTTTGTTCCCATCATCATCATCACAACGGTAACAATGTTTATCATCATCATCATCATCATCTTCCTCCTCCTCCTGATCGTATAAGCGATGATCCATCCAAGATTATAATGGGATAAAGGATAAAGGTGATGATTGGGTAATACTCTTGATAATAAGAGAGAAAAAAAGTCCAACTTGATTACTGGAAAAACTGTTGAATCAAAATTAATCACAATCGCGAAGAAGAGCAAAAAAATGATTCTATTGATCAATTTACTTGTTTACCTGTTTATTTGTTATTGTGATCATTTTAATCTGTGAGAAAAAGTCAAGTCTTGTTCATCTAAAGGTAATGAGAAAAAGTTGGATAATCAATTGAATTATTCATCGACTCAGATTATCCGTTATTCAATTCAATCCTCATCTTGACCGATTCTTACATGGCCTTTATTTTTTCCCGTGTTTATCATGCACCTTGAACCAGCATCCAAATAGCAGTTGAGTTGTTACGTCTTGATCTTGATTCTTCTTGGCTTGGGTTTGATTTGCACTTTCCTAATCCAATAGCTTCCGGTCAAGATTTCACTTTTTTTACCTTTACTCCCCCGGCGATAAAACTGATTACATGGTAGACCGAACCGTTAATCATGCATATGATTGTGACCTCCGTTATATATATATATATAAACATACGGGTTCTCAGGTTTGGGCTCCGATACACGAAATGATCTTGAACCTGAAAGCAAAAAAAGAGATACAAATAAATAAGTACAAGAGAAAAAAAATCAAGAAAGAAATGGAAGATAAATCACCTGAAGAAAATTTCATTTTCTGAATTTCCTTTTCCTCTAAGAAAGTAAACAAAAAAAAACGAGAATCAATGATAACGGTAAAAAATTGTTGATGCAAATGATTGAATTTAAATTGTCAACTGAATTAACTTAATTGCTGATACAATTTACTCTCATCATTGTCATCGATTTTGACCTTTCAATCAATTGATTTATTATCATGAGTTTTCAGTTGCTGTTTGAGCTTTGAAATTTTCTCATTCCAATAATTGATCTTATTGAAATTTCTTCCTTGTTCCTGTGATTGATTCGTATGTTCATCTCCTATTCCAGTTGAAATGTATATTCATCATCCAAGTGATTAGGATACATGATAATGGATAACAGGGTGAGAGAGAGAGAGAGAGAGAGAGAGAGAGAGAGAGAGATAATATTAAAGATCACACATCCAGAAAGTTAATCATGATAAAAATGTCTGTAATTGTTGGAATTGATTCATTTTCTTCAATCCTTTGGTCGCCATGGTTGAAATAATTACCATGATAAATATTATTCAGTCTGAGTTGAAAATAAAATAATAATATAAGACACTAAATAGATTAGATAATAAAATGATATTCAATGAACTGAATGCGTGTTTCAATCAGATAGAAAAAAAAGTTTTCCAACATTCAAATTAGGCCTAAGTCTTAATGATAAAAGGTTGTTGTTAGTGGTGATGATGATGATGATGATAACTTACCCCTGTCTTTGGTTGATACTCCAGTGATTGGGCATGGAAAAGCCCTAAGGCATGAAACCTCATAAGATGAGATTAAAGACATTGAGAAGACAAAATTGTAATAGAAAATGAAGAAATTGAAATGATTAGGAGAAAGTAATATGATGATGATGATCATCATCATTATCATCATCAACTTAATTTCCAATCAATTACTGAACATTTTTCAAGAAAAAGATGAGAGAGACATTGAGATCGATAACATTTCCTTTTGCTTCCTCATCACAAGTTAATAATATTCATTTAATCAATTGGAACCAAACATTTCATCCTCTCTCATTATTGTTGATCATTCTCATAATTTTAATTCCTCTATCATAATTGGATTAATTTTGATTTATTCCACCGTCAGAATCCTTCTTTATCACCATGATCCATTTAATAACCCATGCAAATTGGTCTGGAACTGAAAAATACAGAGATTAAGATCAATTTAATCTCTTCTGAATGGGAAATCAACACACACACACTCTCTCCCTCTTTCCATGGTTAATACTAATCCGTAGACATGGTGAGATCAATTTCAACAACATAAATAAACCATTAACTTGATAAACTTGAGATATAATGATAAATTGACCAGGTAGAAACCTTAATTAACACCGATAATTAGTAAACCAGAATTTTGTTTAGTCTAAAAAAAGGGAAACACTCAATCATTACAGAGAGAGAGACAGAAAATCAACAAGCAAGTCAATTCTCACCATGAAAGAATCAATATCAACCCCCTGATGATTGAATTAATATCTCGAAACGATTAAAAGAAAACGAACTAACCAAAGAGTTAGAACTCGATTCAGATCATTTTCTTTCGAGGGGATCAAATGAAGTTGCAGATCAAATGAAACTTTGAATTGGAATAAAATTCCATAGGAATTGCTGAGGAAAAGATAATCTCATATTCGATATTCATGAATTTCATATTTTCGTTAATTGTGATTCTCCATGAAGATAACATGTTGGATATAAAGAAGAAGAAGATAAATTATATAATGAAAGAGAAGAAAAGAAAGACCGGGAAAGGAAGAGAATGAAGATAAGTAAGAGAGGTAAAACAGGTAATGATGATATTGGAAGAGGAGGAGGGAAGATGAAGAGGGTTGAGAGAAGATTTTTCATCTTGTTCGGTCTCGGTGGGATGAGAATGAAAAAGTTTCTTCCATCAGTTTAAGTTCAGTTGAAAATATCGTGTCGATCGATGTAGACGGTTGATATTAAGTCTATTTAGATGTTGATTAAAGTGTCATCGTTGTTATTTAGTGTATAAAAATTTAGAATCACAATTAACTGATTGGGTTATGATTCTCATATTAATACCCACTGTTTTTTTACTGTGCTGTGCTTGTTTAACATCATCACTAGCATCATCAGCATACCAACCATCTTCATCTTCATATTCATCCTCATCCTCATTGTCTTCACCTTCATCTTCATCTTTATCCTCATCTTTATCAATTTCCTCACCAACAGCATCATTTTTATCATCAATTTCATCTTTATCTCCAGCATCACTAACCTCATCTTCATCTTTACCACCATTAACATGGAGACAACAGCAAAAATTAATCAACAATCAAAAATTAAATTCTCATCAACACCTCGAATTGGGTTCTAATTGTTACACTTCCTCGGAATGTTCAAAATTTATTCCAAATAGTCACTGTGAATGGAATGAGAGGATTTGTACATGTCAACCTTACCATATACAATTAAATAGCACAGTTTGTTTACCAGGTAATTATACAATTAACGATTAAACAATCAAATTAAAAACCTCTAAAAATGGTTAACTCAGTTGAAAGTGAATATGAGTTTCCTCATCTTCATCCTCATCGTTTATCATTTGTATCAATTTTTTTCACTCACATCTTTGTAATATTTCATTTTGGCTTTGGAATCAACAATTAATTGTTTTCTCTCCTTCTATTATTATTATTATTATCCCTCTTAATTGTCAACAATTAGCCTCATTGTTAGGCTTTGGATGTTCAATTGATGAGCAATGCACAATCAAAGTGCCAAACAGCATTTGCATCAACGGGACCTGCCAATGTAAATCAAACTTTGTCCCACACCGGAGGGATAAATGTTTACCACGTAAGTAAATTGTCACAATTAGTGAAACAATTAAGAGATTGGGAAAACAATTCACTCGCAATTTGTGTACATACTTTACAATAAATTTTGATTGTTGTCTAGTCTTTTTTTGATAGTTAGATAAGTAAAACCGTTTGATAACAATTAGACGAATCAAATTTTCTGACAATTTCGTTGATTAAAATCAACGAAACAGCAATTAAGATTATCGTTAACTTTTTCCCTTTCATAATTAAGGTAAAAATGGTTAATTTCAATCAACAATGAAACAAATCATTAGCCTGCAATTTAGTTTTACTTACCAGTTTCTCTCTGTGTGTTTTTTTATAATATCAAGTTAATTGTTCAATCAATTTCAATCAAAATATAACCAGAGGCACTTAGACCATATTTAACTTGATTTAAACGTAATCAGAAACAATTTAGCTATGGTCAGTAGTTACTATGGTCATTTAAATTAATTGATAGCTCAATCTAATCAAGTAACATGTTGAAAATCATTATCATTAAATTAATTGATTGTGTACAACAAAAAAAAACAAAACAAACGTTAACTGAATATCAAACATGATTAGCAACAAATTAGCTTACAGATAAACCCAATAATTAAAATACAAATCACCAATATCTCAACACATAATCAACAATTAAAAGGGTTGATTAAACTTAATTGTTCACGATTTTAATTTTTCCTCATACACTTGATATAATTTGCATAAAAAACACAAATTGCTGAAAAGTTTCTCGTTTTGTTTTCCAATCCTTTTGACAATCAAATTAATTGTTCCCTTTGGATATACTTGTGTATCTATAATATCTTGTTAATTTAAACACCTTAATTGTTGTTAATTAGCTGCTAAGATAGAGGATTATTGTCTTAAGGATGAACAGTGTACTCTAGGGGGCAAATACACCAAATGCAAATACATAATACCTCGAGTCTATGGTAAATGTAAATGTCCCTTGGGCTATGTGGTTACCGATGATAAACAATGTTTACCTTGTAAGTTATCAATTAAATTGTTTGTGATATTTTTACTTAATTGTTAACATTTCATTTTCTTTCATCTAAATTGTTTAGCCGTTGGATCTAAATGTGAATTGAACAGTGAATGCTCAAAGATTACACCTCATAGTATTTGCTCAACTTCATTGAAACAATGTGAATGCGACGTTGATTACAAGGCTTCCGATGACAGATCAAAGTGTTTATTAATTGTAAAACCAACTGGTTAGTATAACAATTGTCAATCTAATTGATTGTTGATTGTTTCTCTCTAAACAATTGACAATTACCATTTGATAAACTTTCACTTTTATCTTGTTCAACCAATTGGTTAACTGGTTAACGAACTAGGTTTACAATTAACTTTGGCACGTTACCAGAAAACTTAATCAAATTTTTATCAACAATTTAGTTGATCCATTGATTAATTGGTGAACCAGAGAAAAGTTAAACTGTTGTTGATTTAAATTGTAATTGTTTTTGAATTTCTCTTCTTTTTGCAATATTAGAAACTCCAAATGATATTATTGAAGATGAGGACAGTTCGTCGGCTCTTGATTTAGGTCCAGTTTCGTTGGGTAAAAGGTGCCGATCGTCAATTGAATGTCAAATTCGTGATCCATATTCCGCTTGTATCAATGGTGTTTGCGAGTGTATCTCAAAAACACCCAAATGTAATTCAATTAATCCAGGTAAGATTATCCAACAATTTAGATGTGAAACTTGAATGAAGATAATGATCCGTAATCGTAATTGTAATTATCAAATCATCGGGGACAATCAAAAACGTAACAATGTTAATAATGGGAAAAAAAACAATAAGAAAGATGTGAAAATGAAAAGTTAATTGTGATCAGTGATCAACGACCAAAAGTTAATTGCTTTTTGTTTGATTACTTCCATAGGAAAATTTTAAATTGTCTGTGATTTAAGATAAATTTTTAAATCAATGATGATGATCACACACATGGAAATGATTAAAATTAATGATTAACTTTTTCTGTGTAAATCTCATGATCACAATTAACTTGAATCAATATTATTTAACTAGCGGGCAATCAGTTAATTCCCAAACAATCAAGACTAATCATAATAACATAATAATTATCATCAAGTTTGATGATTATTATAAATTCATCCTTCATAATCAATAAATCAATATCCATGGGAGAGATGATAAAGTTAATCATTTCTAACTAATTAGTTAAATTGTTTCAATCAATCAGAGTCAATGAAACTGTTACTTGAAGCCAAAATATTTGACCATTTTTAACCCGTCAATCGATTGGTGATTGACCACTGGTCGATAATTATGATGATGATGATTACATTGATTACGTTGATTATGATCAAGTCAATAGCTTCTGTATTATATTGTTGAGAAAATCATTTTACAACAACAATCAAACAACAAACTTTCACTAAACCATCAATTCTGATCACTGAACGTGATTAAAGTGCTCACAACTGAATCAATGTGATTATAATCATGATGATACAACCAAATTCATGGTTGATTATCAATATCAAAAAGAAAGCAGAATGAAAACTTTCAAACAATTAAATTATTCAGAGTTACCTTGTTGATGCACAAGGATAACAATCAAACAATTAACCCCAACAATTAACCAGAAAACAAAATACTAATATTACCAATTGCTTGAGGGTTGATTGAAAACAACACAGCAAAATTATTCAAACATTTTGCTTAGCCCACCAAACGAAAAGCTAATTAATCAAAAAATGAGAAAATGAGAAAATGATTAAGATGAGATTACCTTAATTAACATAATGCTAATCAACTAATTGATTGTTTAATTGTTTCCAATAGGCTGTCACAATGATACATTTCAATGTCGATCTGGTCAATGTATATCTTGGTATTTTGTTTGTGATAAGACCAAAAATTGTGAGGATGGATCGGATGAAGATGATTGCGAACCATTTAGTAAGTATAATTAACAATTAATTAATTAGTTAATCAACTAACACACAAAAGACTCTGAAGACCAGTTGAATGTGATATCTGAAAGTTAATCTAAATGTAAGAAAGTCACGAAAAAGAAAAACAAAATTGACCTTGAAAACTTTTTTATCTTTTCCTCTTCCCGAGTGACCTTTTCCATATTAGTTCAACTTGGACATTGTATCTCCGGTAGTACTCATAATATATATATAAGATTATCATCTTCATCATCATAGTTGTCATCCTCTCATCTTCATATTATATTTCACATCCTCATCCTTATTCTCATCTTAATCTTCATCCTCAAGATTCAACAAATGTTAACCTCAATTAACTGAATATTCTGGTAGCCGAGATTAAGATTAAATTGTTACCTCTCCATTTCTCCCTCTCTCCCTCTCCATCTCTCTCTCTCTCTCTTCTTTATCTTCCTCATCATTTTCACCATCTTTATCTCTCTCACACATATATAATTTATCATCTTCATCATCAGCAAAATGATAATTGTAGTTAGATACAGGTTAGTATTAGAATGTATCAACAACGATAACGAAAACATTACATTGAAAAAAACAGTAGCCTCCAAAAAGTCAAAGCAATTTATTTAATTGTGTTGATTGTATTACTCTGGTTAGTTAGTTAGTTAATTTTTTTCACCGTTGATTACCTTTTGATTTATGTGAATTAGTTTCAACAATTCACATCATCATCAGGATTTAAAAACAATGCAGTTACTTATGTGTACTTTCAATGGGTAAATTTAAATATAATCAACGTTTAATTGTTATTAGGTTACAATGATTATGATTATGATTATGATTATGATTGTGATTCCGTTATTATTATTAGTTTGTAGACAGGTCACAATTTAACCGTGGTAATATCATCTTATCATCATCCTCATCATCAACCAAGCTCATCATGTTACAATTTAATTCCTCTTGTTATTAATCCTTCCTACTTATTATAATACAATTAGATGATTGTTATTATCATCATTAGATTATGATAATAACAGAGTTGATTATAAAGTTTAGATTAACATTGAATCATAATTAGTTAGTTAACTATTGAAAATTGAGTGTTATGATTTTCAAGATCAATAATATAAAAGGTAAGCGAGTTAATCGTTCATCTTGATCAACATAATCATTATTATCATGGGAATTGTGATGATAATCAACTGATGATCAATGATCAATGATAATCAACTCCCACAATCAACCAATCATGATGAGATTCACTGATAATCTTTTTGTTTTATTCTGAAAAAAATACAATTCCAAACAGAAAAGGAAGCAAAAAGTTTCTCAAGAAAAAGAAACTTCCTTGAAAAAAAAAGTTCTAATTGAACATTCGATGAGATTTCATTTCCTATTGGTTTCAACTTCACAGATTCATGATTACGAGTGAATTAAGGGAGTACCAGTGATTAAGATTTAGTAATTAAAAGATTAATTTCTTTTCTAATTGTCAAGTTTAATGAAAAAATGATGAAAAGGAAAAACTTTCCATTTCAATTGCATAAACGTTAATTGTATTAATATCCATTGATTGTTCAGTTTAATCATCTTTGTTTCATAATAATACAAAACTAAATCATTCATTCATCTTGATCATTATCATCATTATTAATTACTTTCACTATAACCTTATTGTTTTTACATCATTATTAATGATGATTTATACTAATTAAAGTTGATCACATTAGTATATAATATATATATTGAAAGGGTTACATCGTGATCAATTTAAATCACAATGAGATTAATATCCTAAAACTAATTTATATTAATAATGATGATGATAAACTTGATCATGATTAACGTGTGGGTTTGTTAAAATGGTATTTAACTAATTAACTGGTTTAGAGATTAAAAGTTTAAGTCATTTACCTTGTTGATTGTAGTAATTTTTTGCTTTTCCATAGCAAAATTGGTTCCATATATTTACCTTTACAATTTATCTGATTAATTATCAAAAGGTGAAAATAATGATTACGATTTTTGTTATAATACTCTGCTTATTCAATTTCAATTTCAATGGTGTTTTTTTTTCATGATGGTCACTTTGGGGAGTGACCCAGGGGAGAGGTCATTGTTATTATTGTTGGTAAAGATGAGGATGAAGATGAAGATGAAGATGAGGATGATATCCTTTCATTTATTTACCTGTGTATGAACCCGTTGGGCTCAAGAAAAAAAGTTTTTTTTTGGTAAAAAATGTTGCTTTTTTTAAGCTTCTTGTATTCAAGGAATCAAAATTAATTGCTTGCTGACCATGATGAGGATGATGATGATGATGATGATGATGATAATGATGAGGAGGATAAGTCTTTATCCCTTTTACTTTTACCTGGATATCAATTTTTTTTTGTTATTATCTGTTTACCTTTACATTTATCATGCTGATGAATTGTTACCTTGTTGAGGATCTGGTGTTTGTTGATTGTGTTTATTATTAAATTAATGGCTCAATGATTTACGATAATGGCTATTAAAGATGAGGAAGATGATGATGATGATGACGATGATGAGATGATGTGAAATGTTTTTCTTTTTTCTTGTTACCTGAGTATAAGAGTAAAAAAGTGATTGAAAAAAGTGTGAAAGTAAAACCAAGTAATTGAAATCTCATGTTGATCATTTCAGGGAAAGTTTATTAGGATGATGATCTTTTCATGAATCAATTCAATTGTAAATTAATTATGTTATTTCATCCTTACCCTTCATCTTGATCCTCATCATTTTGACAATCAGCGTTTTTTTTAATACCTGGTCAGTGGTTTTTTTTTCAAACTGTCACAACAAACATTTCAAACTTAATTTAACGTAATTTAAGTTAAATCAGTTACCAGTTAAACACATAACTGTAATCAACTCAATTGTTACAGTTAACTAACTTTGTCCATTGTCATCATTGTGAAATTTTCAATACCTATTAACCAATAGCTATCAGAATCTAATTACTCAGGTTAATTTGGTAATCTAATGATTATTGTTTTCATTTGCTGAATTCACTGAATCAACTTGCTGATTGTGAAAATCAATCAGTTTTTTTGCTGCAATTCAATTTAATCATGTTGGTGATCCTAATCAACAGGGATGAATGGACAGTTGAACAATGATGACGATGATGATGATGATGATGATGATAATGATAGTTGAATGTCTTGTTCATCCATTACACCATCAATTTCATCATCATCAAGATTCATTGACATTGAATTTTAAATGTAAAGCAACAATTATAATGTTAATCTATCAGCTACCGTTACGATGGCTACTTAATCATAATCATCAATTACAATTGTAATATTATCAACAATTTAAACGATCATCATGATTTAACCCTTTTGATTTGATAATAATACTTGTGATTATGATTTAGACTATTATCATAGTAACAATTGTTTATTATTGTTCACCAACAATTGAATTTGGTAATTCACTTTCACTACTAATCAATTTGTTACACTGATCAGAAAACAATTTAAATCATTGGTCCATAGGTAAAAGGGTTCAGACTTAGAGTCAATGTCAATCAATTACATACAAATAAATAACAATTTAACCATCAATTAACTTTAATCTTGATAATCTATTGATTGTTAATAGTTAATTCAGTTTCATCACTTTCTTTTTAAATCATCATTTAAATTGTTTTACCGAAAAGAATCAAGAAAATCAAGGTTACCAAACCTTTGGAATCGAAGCAAAAAAAAATGAATCAACGTTTTCATTTTTTTTCAGGTCACTTTCCTTTTTTGAATTTTCAATTGATTGTTGAGATTAATTTGATCAGCTTAACAATAATTAGATCGACAATTTAATTATAAACCCTTAAGGGGGTAGCCTCAAATTCAATCAGAATAACAATCAACTTTCCAAATGACTAATTGTTTTTAATTGTGTGATCCTTAAGCAGGAATACAGAATTAACAATCAATTCATTAATCTTACCTTTTAAAGAGCAACAATCAAAGTCAATTAACAATCAATTCAATTTCATTTATCTTTTCAAATCAACATGATGATAATCATCTATCTTTTTATCTTTATCATCTCCATCATCATCATCATCATCTGTGTGAAAATCATCATTGCCTCAGGAATAGAAAGAGAAATGAAAAATAAAAATGAAAATCGAAATCTAATCAAGATGCAATTAGATGATTATGATTACAATTTAACTTTTAATTGGTGTAAATTTCATCTCTAACTCTAACTCTCTCTCTCTCTCTCTCTCTCTCTCTCTCATCACATATACACTTACTTATCTTCATTATCATCTTTTTATCATCTTTCAGAATGTCCTAAGGAGGCATTCCAATGTGACGATGGAACTTGTCTCAGTCGATCAGCTGTTTGCAATGGCCGATGGGAATGTCCTGATGGAAGTGATGAAGCAAGATGCTATAAGGGTAAGTTTATCATCCTCATCACTTAGATATTCATCTTCATCTTCATCCTCATCCTCATCCTCATCCTCATCCTCATCTTCACCTTTTTTGTTGTTTCTTTAACACCAATAACTAATTATCAGTCAGCACCAATTGTTAGGTTACTAATACATTTAGAGTAACTAAAATGTTACCTGTTCAATCATCTTAATCCTCCTCATCCTCATCCTCATCATTATCTTACCTGTGTAATAATTATAATGACATAAATTCAAACCAGTTTCACCCTTTATTTTTTTACACCCACAGAAATTAAATCTAATCACAACAATTTAACTTTAATTAATGGTTCTTATAACATTGATATAAGTTGAATTTGTTTTGATTGTTTGTGTAAACTAATTGATAACAGATCTTAACGATTATCTAAGTGATGAAACAGTTAATTGTTGCGATTATTTTTTTGTACCACTAATCATCATTTCCTCTTCCGGTTCAACCCAATAGGTATTCCTTGTGATAAAAAATCATTCCGATGTAAAAGTGGACAATGTTTACCTCAATATACATTTTGTAATGCTGTTACTGATTGTCTTGATGGATCTGATGAAATACAATCTGTTTGTGAATACTGTAAGTTAATTGTTACAATTAAATCAATTGTTTCTGATTGGAAATGAAAACGGTTAAGACAATTTCAAAGTTTAATTACATTTTTATGACTTTAAGATGATTAAAAGTTGATGGTTGATTTTTTTCCCATTATTATCTAACTAATCATCTTCACCATTGATGATATTAGATTGATAAATAATAATTGTAACAAAATACCAGTTGATTATCACCTTAAATTACAATTTAAAACTGGATTAAAAGATTAACATTGGATTTGGTAAGATTAAGATTCCTAAATATTTTTTGTTTTCATCAATCAACAAAGTAACAATGATCAACAGGTTATCATATATTGATTGATTGGAAATCAAACTGATTATATAATTATCCAATATTTACCGTAATCAAATGATTGATTAAAAAAGTTAATAATCAGTTAATTGTTACAACTCATCAGCAATAAACTAATTATTATCAATAGGTAACAGAAAATAAATAAATTGTATCAACTCATTTAAACTTTCAATTCAAAAAGTTTCATATTTCCAATCAAATTGTTATTAATTGTCATTCATTACCAATTAGTTTTCATGGTTAATTGTCAATTGTGATTAATTATAATTAATTGTTTCTCTTTTTATTCAAATTAGCACCCAAATGCCCCAAGGGTATGTTTCAATGTGACAATAAGAAATGTCGATCCACAGCAATCCTTTGCTCCGGTGTTGATGGTTGTGGTGATAATAGTGATGAAGAGAGATGTGAAGTTTGCTGTAAGTATCACAATTAGTTAATTGTTATCAAAATTACAAGAGTACAACGAAAAGAAATCAAAGAAAACAATAAACAACAATTAACTTTTCCAGAGCCTTTAACCTTTTGCCTGACGCTTTGGGAAAGACAATTAAAAACCATTTTATGGATTAAATTGTTGATTGTTTTTTAATTGTTCACCAAGATTAAACAATTAACATGATATCTAGTTATTAGTTAGTTGGTTAAACCTTTCTAATTAGATGAACTAATAATAATAATCAAATTGGTAACAATTAAATTAAACTAGACAATTTTTTTTTTCCAATGTCAATCAACTCTATGTGAATATAATTTCAACTAATTTCAGTTAATTGTTGTGATTGATAATAATAATTAAGTACAAATTATAATTATCATCAAGATAATTAACTTATATGTGTACTAGAAATTTAAATGGACACGAAAGTATTTAACTAATTGTTGCCAGTTTAACTTTTTTTCCCTTTTTAATTGTGTACAAATCTTTGTAATTAAATTAGTTAATCATCTCAGTGTAAAAAAAATCATGAGATTTAATTGTAATCATCAATGGTTAATTGTTGTATTATTATTCAAGGATTTGTCGTTGTTGATTAATTTTAATTGTTGCTGGTAAATTGTTTAATTACAGTTAATCATGCAATCGAAAGTGATTCCAACAATTAACCATTGATTAGGAAACTAATAACTTCCGAGTTTATCTTAATCATTTGCTAATTGTGTCTAATTTAATTGAGAGGAAACGATAATCAGGTTAATTGTGTTATGTGATTAATAATAATCAACTTGTTGATTTATTTGTTGTTACTGTTGTAATAATTTGATGTAATTGAAAATCTAATGGAACAACAATTAACTAATTTTTTTTTCTTTCTAATTTACAGATTGTGAAAAACCTCCGAATTATTGATAATTAATTTAATTATTAATTCTAATTTTTTAATTATTTATACAAAAAGCTACAAATTATCATTTCTTTTAATATAATTAAACAAATTGATTGGAAACACAATTGATTTAGTTAAATAAAAACTCACATTTTGTGTTTACAATTTTAATTGTTGACTAAATTGTCACATGATTGTTATGAAAGTTGATTACAATTAAAAGGTATTAATATTTATATATCAAGTTACGATAATAACAAAAGGTTAATGTTGATTAAATCAACGAGAACAACAATTAACAATCAGAAAATAATGTCCATCCTAATTGTAACAATTAACAAGGTAAATAGTTCAATAGTCTCAACATGTTAATTGTCAAGATGATCATAATAATAATCACCAAACAGTTTACAATTAATCACAATCGTTATAATAATCATTGCATCATAGAATCAAATCTGAATACAATTGATCAGCTAATTTAAATTGTAAACAATTAACTAATTTTTCTGAATCGATTGTCAATCAATTTAACTCATCGAAAGCAATAATAATAATAATCAATAAAAAAAAAGTTTCTTCCGGTGAGTAACAATTAACACTCAAGGAAACAACAACTTGAAATGGTGAGAAGCAAAAAAATTAACAACGATTAGTTAATTGTAACCAGGTAACTCGAAAAAGCGAAAACAAATCAACATGTGACAATTTAAAGTAATTAATTAATTGTTGTTTATTTATTGTAACCCAGTGAGAGAAAGTCAATCAAAAGTTATCAATGAAAAAAAGGAAGTGAAAAGCAAAAACTTTGATTCTAAACCAAAGGATCGGCCTAATTTTGGTAGTTAATTGTTACAAGAGTGAGTTAGTTAGTGAGTTGATTGTTAGAAATTAAATAACACGGAATCATGCAATTAAGCCAACACATAGAAAGAGAGAGTATTTAAATTTAATTCTTACTTTTTGATCACAATTAACATCGACAATTGATGATTATTTGTCGTTGGCTCATTTACCTTTCATTGTTATTACAAAAAGCTATTCATTAACATTCAATTCAAATTATATTCACCATCATCATCATCATCATCATCATCATCATTACCACTCCTAATTGTTGGACATAATCATCATCATCAACGACAACAATCAAATTAGATTCCGTGTTACCTTGTAAAAAAAACACAGAATCAACATAATCATTAATAATCATCTCCCTCTTTTCATCTTTCTCCTCCTCTTCATCTCTCTCACTATTTTTACAATCAGTTTAATTGTTAGAATACAAATTTGGTCAGTTAATTGTTCAACTTCATCGTCAAAATTTATTTTTGGATTAAATTGTCAACAAATCAACATAAAAAAAAGGAATCTAATCTATTAGTAGTTAACATGTTCCAATATTTCGTTACATTATTTACCGTTTTGTTTTTGTTTCTGTGTTTTATTGATTCGATTTCGGCTCAATCCTATGGTGTAGTTCCCCCCGGTGGGTATGGGTCAGGTTACAGTTCCGGTGTTTATGGTACTTCGGGTGCCATGATCGGTGGTTATTCTGTTGGCTCTGAATTGACCATGAGACGAATGGAATTGGAAGCCCGATGTCCGAAAGCTTTTGTTGATCTTCGCTATTCAGAGTGTAAAGATGATGCTCGTTACGATTGGACGGGAACTCGAAACACTCTGAAAGCGGAATGTTGCTTCGTACTTGACGATGCTCATTGTCTCCGTGATTCCATGAAACGAAACTGTCCAATTGATGTGGTCGATTTTTTCGATGAGATAATGTTGACCTCCGAAAACCAATGGAGATATTCAACCGAGTGTCATGATTACTACAAAAGATCATTATGCCATTTTCCCGTTTGGGCGATTGTCCTTCTATCAATTATCGGTGCTATCTTACTATTCGGTTGTATCGGTGGAATCATCTATTGGAAATGTTGTCGTTAATTGTCAACCAATTTTCTAAAATTTTTTTCTCTTCTAATTAACTTTCCAATCTAACGAAACAATCAACTAACCAGCCGATTGTTTCATCACCAAAAACTAAATCAACGAGATTTCTGTGTGTGTGTGTCTCCTTTTAATTGTTTCCTCCATAATTCACACAATTAGTTAATTAGATTTCCCAGAATTTGTTTTTCTAATCATTAAGTAAATTACAAACTCACAACCGAACAATTAATTAATCAAAATTCCCTCCTTTTCTAATTGGCGCCTAATCTTATTTTCTGGTTAAAAGTTTTCACTTTTAATTGAGACCTTTTCGTTTTTCTTGTATCATTATCATCATCAAAACAATCAACAATCAAATAAATTGACTTTTAAACAAATCTAATTTCGCTAATTGATTATGTTAACCGAATCAAGAATCAAGTTAATTAGTAAAATTAACCCTTAGGGTTTATTAATCTTTCTCTCTGATTGTGTTTACATCCCATTCACTTTGTCTTTGTTTCCCTAATTATAGATTAATGATTAGCTAATGATTAACTAATTCACTTGTTTATTTCTCTTCTCATTTTGTTAATTATCCTCTTTTCCATCATCATCATCATCATCATTTACTGTTCCTTGGATTTGGGATTAATGATACCGGAGAAAAGCTGATTGAACAGTTTTCCATTATTTCCAATATTTACCTGGAAGGTAAATTCCATCTCATTATTATTAATTGTTTGATTGAAAGTTTGACAGAATCCTAATTGTTTCCTCTTTCTCAGTTCTACTTCTTGATTTTTTCGTATATATATTTATCTCTTCCCAGTCTCAAGTGGACAATTAAAATGGCGACTTGATCATTTACCTTAATTTGTCGGACATTAACATTATCTTACCATTTAGAGCTCACAAAAAGCCATTAGCTCAACGTAGATGATTAATATTATTTCAATTTCAGTTTCTGCTGGTGATAAATTAACTTCTCATCATTAACCATGATGATAATATAAGAATCGGGAATCCAGTTGATCATTTTAATGTCTAAATCTAGTAATCAATTTTACCAGAGAAGCAGAAAATCAAATTGGAATCAAATTAAGTCATAATGATGATAATTAAATCCATGTTAATTGTAAATCATCGTCATCTTTTTTATTTTATTGATAATCTAATTGTGGGTTAATGATATAAATTTTAATTTCTTTATGTTATTTTAATTGTTGTTTAACTAATTCGACTCACCGATTTTGATTTGATTAATTTTAATTCAATTCAATGACCAACCAGGATGAAAATTTGATTCACTTTCTCAATTAGATTAATAGTGAAAAACTAATTGAAATTAATATTCTGATTGTGATGATTAAGAAAATAAATAATTCTCATTTCAAATAATCAACTAATTGTTTAAATTTTCAACCAGAAATTGAACTGAATCAATAATGGTAATAATAATAATCATCATCATTATAATGATCATAAAATAGTCAATCAAAAGTTGACAATTGATCATCAATTGATTGTAACAATTAATTTATCCATAAAAATGATTGTTATTAATTTTAAATTTTCTGAGATTCGGTCAACCATTAAGATTATTGACCGACAATCAACTCGATACAAACTTATGAATCTTGATTATGGATCAATTTTGATGATAATTAAGTTGATGATTATCACGATGATTGTGATTAACAATAGAGGAAAAATATATTTATACATTTCTAATAATTTAACTGGAATAATTAACTATTGTTAAGAGTAAGGATCTAATAAATTGTAACAATCATTGGAAACAATCAGGTAATTGATGAGCAACATGATATAATCATGATGATACAATTAATGAAAAGAAAGTTAATAATCTTAATAGTTAATCTGACAATTTAATCTCTTTTTATTGTGTTAAATTAACACAACAAACATGATCATTCGTTGTGCATGGTTAACAATTAACTAATTGTCATTATGTTGATTAAATGTAACCAACATACCAAAAGATATTAAAGTTAATCAGTTTTTTACTTGATTGTTACTGTTGTTTTCATAGGAGCAAAAGCAACTAACCAACTTGTAACGATTAACAATTAACTAAATCAAGTTTAATTTAGTGTTGATTTTTGTTATAATTATATCAGGATCATTTTCCATGCCATGTTAACAATCATCATCATTAACTTTTCTACCTTAATCATCAACAATTTAAAGTTCCAACAAAAAGAGAAACTGTAAGAGAATTGATGATGAATATGATGATGATGATGACGAAGATGATGATGAAGATGATGAAGATGATTAAGATTTAGAAGTTAAATTGCGATTTGAATTGTTTATTGTTCCATTTTAATCCTTCAGGTTAAAATGTTAAGATGTAAATGTAACAACAATTAAGAAATTGCGAGTTAACCATATAAACAATGTTCTTGAAACGAATCTTTGATAAGATAAATTCTCTTCTCTTTTTTCAATATTCTTGTAAAATTTATGTTCTTTTTCTGATTTTTGCTTCGATTTCAAGTGATTTTCATGTGAACGGAGCGATAGCCTCATCTCCATCAAAGTCCAGTGGATCGACAACTGTCACATCTTCCGATGGATCAACAAGTACAATCATCGATGGAGATGTTATAATTACAAGTGAATCATCTGATTGTTCATGTTCCAATTCAATTAATCAACAATTTGCCATCAAACGAGCTGGTGATAAAAAAGGAGATCCAATTGTAATCACAAAGAGAGCGGGAAGTTGTTGTGATAAAGATCATCATCATCATCATCATCCTCATCATCAACCTCAGCATCTTCTCACCATGGATCAACTAAATTGGTTCCTGTTCCAGTTCCAGTTCCTATTCCCATGTATCGTCCATACTTTTACCACCACCCACAACAATCAGCTTCCTCTCAGCTGATAAGTCATCACATGTTACCCCCTTATAATCCCATTCCTAATCCTCATAATCTTGATCATCATCATCATCATCATTCACCACCACCTTCACCAACATACTCAAGTTCAGCTTTCCCATATCTTAATCACCCTCACCCTCACCACCACCACCACCACCCACTTCCTTCATCGCTTTCATTGCCACTCTCATCACACTATCCCCCACCACCTCCACCTCAACCTCACCTTTCACCTCTCTCTCACCATCATCTTCATCATCCACCATCACCATCATCAAATCATCAACAAACTTTTTGGACTTCCTTTGATAATCAACCCTATTTCTCAGATCCCAATTGGTCATTTGATGGCCATCAGCCCATGGAATCAACTCTAATTGAATCCCAATCATTACATGATAAAAAACCTCATATTGATTACGATTATGATGATTCATTTCCAACCAATCTCGATGTTTGGAAATAATTTCAATCATCATTTAACAACAAAACCAACAATTAACATAAACTGATTACTTTATATTTTCCAAGAACAATAAAAAAAGTTTATCCTAATTGTGACTTTAATGATCATTGACATCAATTGGACAATTAACTAACATTCGTGAGAGACAGACAATCAACTAATCATCTCAACCTAATAAACTTTTCACCCCTTGATGAGTCCCAATGATTTTCAATCTCCACCATTAGAAAAAAAATCGAGTTGATTAACTAAATCATTCGATTTCCAATGAAAATTAAGATATTAAAATCAATCCATCAATAGCTATTAGTTGATTTTCATCATCATTGAAAACTATGATACTTTTTGTCAAGTTAATTGCTTTTTAATAAGTCAATATATTCATTGATATTATCAATCTCTATTGATTTGATTAGATTAACACAAAATTGTTCATCTATTTGATTAAACATCTCATTAGATTTACAAATAAAGAAACCAGAAAGTTCAGCAAGAGCTGGATTAATATGAAATAAGTTCTTGGATCCAAAAGAAACTTTTCTAATCCAGATAAACACTCGGATTTCATGATCAATTAATCCTCTTGCGATGAATAAATTGTAGGAATGATTATCATGATTGGTGTGGACATGATTAACCAGCAACATGATTGATTCAACAACTGAATCAACTGACTGATTATCAGAAATTTCAAATAAGAAACCAGGTAATGGCCAATCAGTAAAGAAATGACCATCAACTGTTTTAATTGATTGAAGATATAATCGTTCCTGTTGATAATATAAATGCCAATGGCAATGATTAACTGAGGCTTCAGCTCCAAGTGAATTGAAACCCATTCGCAAATTTAAATCACCACTAATAGCGATTAAATTGATTGCCATTTCAAGCGATGATTTAGTTAACAATTGGTTATGACAATCGGCTGGATCGATAACCATTAATGATGAACAATATTCAATTGGACTGTTATTAATTATGATGGAAACTATTGGTTTGGTTAAATTGTTTCGAGATACTTTGAATAGTAATTCGTTGGGCTTAATTTTGTTGAAATTAAATTTACTCTCATCAAAAGGTGTACTAATTGAGTTAATTGTCTCAGGTGATCGACGATTAGTTCCTCTTCCAGTGTTAAGTGTAACAACGAATCCATATTTTCCAGGAAGAATTGTTGTTCGAATTTTCAATCGATCAAATTGAAATAGAAACAAATTGTCAATTGATTGAGCTTGATTCCATTTTCTTTCCAACAAAAGATCAAATGAAGAAGCAACTGATTTACCACAATCAAGTCGATAGTTGCGATCGTCATCAGAAAAATTGAAGATATCGTAAGGCGAACAACTGAACTCAGAAAAGGTCGAAATGCTTCCACCTCCGTCGATCCTTTGATTACCGTTCTTAGGCCTGTGGTTGTTTCAATGTGATTCTGAAGATCGGGTATTGTTATCGTTGCCTTTTTAGAAATTTCCACTAGAACTTGTTGACCAGCAATGTCAATCGATTTAATTGTAACATCGTCCATGGAATCCAATGATTTTCGTATCTTATCCTCACACTTGGAACAAGTCATCTCACAATTTAGCTCAACCTGAAAGAGAATTGAAGAGATATAAGAACAATCAGTTAAAAAAAAAACGAAAGAAAAATCAGAGAATTACAAGACTAACCTTGGTCGACATTCTAACCATTAGTAAATTAACCAGAAAACGATAATAATCAAATTGATGTTATAAAAAGATCAACAAATATTTGAAGAGAAATCAATTAACCACAGCAATCAAAACAACAATCAGTTGATGAGACTCTTGTTGAATAGCTTATTCGTACGAAATTGGCTATTTGTCCAGTTGAAAAGATTCTGTCCTTTAATTGTTGTAATTTCATTTTAAATCACAAGATATTCTGAACAATATGCGTAACGCTAATGATTTAAAATCGATTGCAAGTTGATTGTTAAGATGACCAATTGACTAAGCCTGAAGATCTGATGGTCAAGGTGATGAGAAGGAAGGAAGGAAAAGATAAATGTCTCGTGGTCAAGCTCTTTTCTCAGGTCAATTGGAACCGAAGACAAAGATTTTCAGTTTATCCTCACCAAGAACACCAAAGGTAAACGATCAGCATCAGGATCTTTGCAGGTAAATTTTGGAGGGAAATTGGTTGGATCTAAATATCGTTCGAACATGTGAATAGTCCCAAAGAATAATTAATTGATAGATTAGGTGATGTTGAGATTATCCAAATGGTCAATTAAAGATAATGAGTAACTGTTATTCCAAAGGCATCCAGGTAATCACTTGGAACTTATAATCAATTGTACTTCCTTGTAATTAGCTAATTGTAAGAAGAGGTTGTCGATTGATAAGAACGAATTTTATTGAAAAATAAATTGTGACATTTTCTTGATTAAGTATCAACAACAATCAATTTTGTATAAATTCAATTAACCGATAGATAATTTTTATGATTCAATTGTTTGACTTAACAATATAAATAGACTATAAATGAATTCTCTGAGTTTTGTTTACAATGTTTGTTGATTGTCAACATGATTAATGAGAATTGAATCAAATTCTGAAAATATATCCGATTGATATACGGAAAGAAAAGTGGACAGATCATATTATTAAAGTATTGAATTGATTGACGATTAGATTGTGACCAAGAATAGATTTAATTTGATTGTTGGAAATTATCAAACCTTTGATTGTCGCTTCTCATCACGTTCATCCCAAAGTGTTTTACCTGAGCAGAAGCAAATTTTTTTCTCATTCCCAAAGACGGGCGAGGATCGAGCAATTATCGCCGCGGACAATTTCCTATCACTTTCTTGCTCCTTGATTACCAAAGATCTTCCAATGACACTGGTTAAATCACAATTATCAAAATTACCTCGAAATAAACATCTCGATGAAATCGGTTTAACTTTCTCCATGATGGAAACTTTAACTGGACCAACATGATCAAAGGTTTCACCACGAAGATCACCAAATTCATGAATATCTAGACGACAATGAGCCGAGTTATTGGTTAATTTGATATCATCAATCACACCATCAACAAGACATCGATTGTTGGACAATTGTGCTAATCTAATGACACCAATCAAGTTATCGGGACCATTGAATTCTGAGACGGTGGAAATACCTTCTCCGATTCCTTTGATTACCGTTCTTAGGCCTGTGGTTGTTTCAATGTGATTCTGAAGATCGGGTATTGTTATCGTTGCCTTTTCAGAGATTTCCACTAGAACTTGTTGACCAGCAATGTCAATCGATTTAATTGTAACTTCGTCCATGGAATCCAATGATTTTCGTATCTTATCCTCACACTTGGAACAAGTCATCTCACAATTTAGCTCAACCTGAAAGAGAATTGAAGAGATATAAGAACAATCAGTTAGAAAAGAACGAAAGAAAAATCAGAGAATTACAAGACTAACCTTGGTCGACATTCTAACCATTAGAAACCAATAAATTAGCCTCAACCAATAATCAAATTAATTCTGTAAAAAGAATGAAAAAAACAGCTTAGAAAAGAACAGAAAAAAATAGAATAGAAAACAAGAAACACCAAAGTCTTTACCTTTTCTCCAAGAACTAAATCAATGGAACCAAATTAAGTAAACCGGTAACACAGAGACAGCGATTAAAACACAAACAATACCAACAATTTGATACATAAATCAAGCAATTAAAGAATTAGAAAATGAAAGAAATGAACAAGAGAAAAAGAAAAAAATTGAAAATTAAATTGAATAAAACAAGAAGAAAACAGGTAAAGATTTGCTCTTTTCAAACAGAGAACAAGGTTAACAGATAATTAACAGAAATCAAGGTAAAGAAAAGAAAATAGTAATTAATGTAAAAAAGATAATTAATCAAAAAGGTAAACCAAAGTGAGACAACAAACAAAAAGTAAAACAAATGAATTGTTGTCATATGTTGAGATAGAAAACTAATGACGTAATGGAAGGGCAAAGGTTTTTATAGATAAATGTGAGCTCATTTTCTAACAACAGGTTCCATGGTGTAATGGTTAGCACTCAGGACTTTGAATCCTGCGATCCGAGTTCGACTCTCGGTGGGACCTTGACTTTTTCTCCGTTTTTTTCTTTTCTTCCCCAACTTTTTTTTCTTTTTTCTCTATTAACCAAAAAGAGAAATTAAAATCCATCAAATATCCACTGATCGATAATCTAAAAACAATTTTGTAGATTTGATTAATCTAATTAGAAACTTAATTCTTTTACTCTTGGTTTTTGGTCCGGTCAAGTTTTCAATCTCATTAAGTGATTGACTTAATTAGTTTTGTTTCGAATCTTTTTCATTCTTGATTGTTAACTAATTTGATGTTCGATGGTTAATTAATTGATTACCTGATGTACGTTTAAAGTTCCTAAAGATTATAATCACAATTTTAAAGAATTGTTGAGTTTTTGGTTTCCATGTTTCTATTTGGCGACCACATGGTTTTTTCGGTTACTATGGTTTCGCTTTTTCTATTTTGATTTTGTTTCTCTCTCGTTTGTTTGACTCTTTTTTTTCTTTGGTGATTTTGATTTGATTCCAATTTAAGTTAATCATGATTAAGGCGAAATGGTGGAATAAACGAAAACCAGGATATGCTGGTGGATCTAAACCTTTGCTGAAAAAACGGAGGATCTTCAATGAAGAAAATGGTTCCGAGATTACTAAGAGTAAGTCGATGTTTATTATTGAGATTGTTTGGTTTCTATTTAATTCTTTTTGTTTAATTTTGTTTCTAGAGAAATTAATTGTTGTCAATGATTCTAATCCTGATGATTCTGTCGTTGAGGTGAGAGATGCAATTGGCCTTGAAGATGAAGAGGAAATTTTCAATCCAGTCAACGAGTTACTATCGATGTAAGAATATGAAACATTTTAGAATTTCAATCAAATTCTATTCTAATTTTTTGTCATGTTAGTTTTCAGGTAGCGGGTAGAAAATCTGCTGTTAAGTCGATAACAAAGTCCAGTTGTATCGAACCTAAAGATGACGAAAATACTGGCGAACCAGAATCGGCCAGCGAAAAGGCCAAAAAAGATGGTAGATTTCAATACAATTCTGATGAAAGTGATGAAGATTCTGAGTATTTTGAAGCGACAGAAATACCAATCAATGTAGAGAATACATTTGATCGCCATTTTGAGGCCGATAAAACTCATTGGGCTTTGAAATATTCCTCGCTAATGGTTAAATCAATCGATATCAATCTACCTAATCTCGGTTCGGGTTTATATGAGTATCGATGTACCGATGAAGAAAAAGAAACAACCAAAGAGATTAAGATGAAAAAAAGTCTAATGGAATTTGATTTAAAACAATCTCTTCTTGACAATTTACCGAAAGCATTGGCTAACATAATGGACGACGATGATTCTTTACCAAAATTAAATGGCCTACAATTCGAGATACTCTCAATTCTACATGATTACAAAGATATTCTTTTCTGTGAGAGAAATTCAACCAATGGTGAACAAATTAGACTTCTTTATACTCTCCATGGTCTTAATCATATTCTCAAAACAAGGAACAAAGTCCTTCATCATAATGCCAAATTAGCGAAAGCAAATAAAAAGAAAGACTCTGATTATCGAGATCATGGATTAACCCGACCCAAAGTGTTGATTGTTGTTCCTTTCAGGGAAAGTGCCTATCGAACCATTGAATGTCTCATCAATTTGGTCTCTAGTGATGAAGATAAGGAGAGACTCAGTATAATGAATCACAAGAGATTCAAGGAAGAGTTTGAATCAACCGAATCGCAAATTCAACCAGGAAAACCAGCAGATTACAATGACCTTTTCACCGGAAATATTGACGATTCTTTCAGAATTGGAATCGCCGTGACGAGGAAAAGTCTCAAATTATATGCTGACTTTTATTCTTGTGATATAATCATTGCCTCTCCACTTGGTTTACGATTAATTATCGGTGCCGAAGGGGAAAAGGAAAGAGATTATGATTTTCTTTCTTCCATCGAATTTCTTGTTCTCGATCAAGCCGATGTTTTCCTCATGCAAAACTGGGAACATATCATTGATCTAATGAAACATCTTCACCTTCAACCCAACGATTCTCATGGAACTGATTTCTCTCGTGTTCGTATGTGGGCTTTAGAAGGACATTATAAGTTTTATCGACAAACGGCCATTTTCAGTTCGACCAGTTGTCCACAGATTAATTCACTATTTAAGAATCGATGTTTCAATTACGAAGGTCGGTTAACATTTAGACAACCGATTACATCGAGCAAAGATCAACTTCACCTTGTTTTCGTCTCGTGTCCCCAATCATTTTATCGTTTCGAGTCTCAGTCAATTGTCTCCTCACCTGATCAACGTTTCGATTATTTTACCAAAGTGATTCTGCCCAAATGTCGGGAAATCGGCGAGACTCATACTCTTATTTATATTCCTTCGTATTTTGATTTTGTTAAATTGAGAAACTATTTCCGAATGGAAGATATTAATTTCACCCAAATTTGTGAATACACGAAAAAGGGTAAAATCGCCCAATCTCGAGCTTGGTTTTTCCATGAAGGGCGAAATTTTCTTCTCTACACCGAAAGAAGTCACTTTTATAATCGTTTCAGAATAAAAGGAATTCGACATTTAGTTTTCTACCAATTGCCAACTTATCCTCATTTCTATTCCGAGTTGGTTAATCTTCTTCATCCAAGTTATCAAGGTAAAAAATTCGTCGGCGATGAAACCATGATGAATTGTACAATTCTATTCGATAAATTTGATTTAATCCAATTGGAGAAAATTGTTGGAACTGAGAAAGCTGCTTATCTAATTAAATCAGAAACCGACAATCATGTTTTCATCAGCCAGGCAAGGAAAACAATAACAAGTTAATCATAATTATATTTATCCAATAATTTGTGTTTCAGTCAATTTATTTTTACCATTTTGTAAACTTTTTGTTATTGACTAATTATTTGAATTGATTTAATTGTGGTGACCACAATTGAAATCAAGTCAACTCTTTATGTTATTTGATGTTGATCTTTACAAGGAAATGATAATAACAAAAATATTGATAAAAACGATTCAATTTGCTTCCATTTGATTCTGATTAATTAGTTAATTGTTTGAAGTTTTCATGATCAAGTCGTTTTTCTGACAACACTACGAAATCCGCTGGTCGTTGAAAAATATTTTCCCGAGTCATTTGTTTTCGCTTCGGCGGCATGAGGATTGACAATTTCGATACCTTTAAGTGGCGTAAATGCAACGGAAGAAGCAGTTCCCGAAATTTGTCTCTTAATCGTAGTTGTCCCTCCATAAACGGAAGTTTTTTGCATTTGTTTGTGTAAAGTTTTAGAAATTTTAACTTTGGTCTTCTCATCGATCTGTGGAGCTCTGATTCGACCCATAGCCGATTTACCAATTTGTCCAGTGGTCACCATTTCCAATTAAAACTGACACAGTTTTCAAAAGATAAACCAGATTGCTTATTCATGGAAACAATTAAAAAAATGAGAAAACTTTTCTTCTAAAACTCTGCCCCCTACACTCAGAGTAAAGAAACAAAAGTTACACTTCATCAAAATCATAAGAATTTTGTCATTTGGTGATAACTTTGATTGTCTTCACTTAATTATCATTGATTTTTATTACTTCTATTGATTAGAGTAACATTCAAAGCTATAAAATTGTGTCCATTACATTTTCTAACAATTAGTATTAGTATTAGTTGAATATTATTCATCAAATTAGATTGTTTCTCTTTTCATTTTTCAACTTTCTCTTAGTTTCTAAATTAGTCATTAAATGGATTCATCAACGGAACAATTTACTTCGATCGCTTCTAAATATCCCAAAAAATATCCTGAAATTTTCGCATATGGTACCTCTGGAATAAGATGTCTGTAAGTATAAATCATTTCATCTGCTACTAATTTAGCTGTTTAATTGTAAGTGTTGTTTTCTGAATCTTTTGTTTCCGTTCTTGTGATCAGTGGGCATAAACTTGATTCCACTGCCTTTAGATTGGGAATTGTTGCTGGATTAAGATCTCAAATTAACAAAGGTAAAGCTGTTGGTTTGATGATCACTGCTTCTCATAATCCATCTGATGATAATGGAATCAAATGTATTGACTCTCATGGATCAATGTTGGACGAGGAATGGGAACCAATTTGTACCAAATTAGCTAATCTATCGGATGAGGAGTTGAAACAATCTGTTGATGATTTGATTAAAGAGCATCAAGCGAATGGATCAAGTTTAGTGTTTATTGGTATTGATACACGAGGAACATCAGCTGGATTAGCGAAAGCAGCCACCGATGGTGCTAAAATCGTCGGTGCTGAGGTTCGTCACTTTGGCCTGGTAACTACTCCGCAATTACATTATATGGTTTATACTTATAACCTAAATGAAGGTGACCCAACTGAACAAGGTTATTACGATAAAGTATCAAGTGCATTCAAAGAGTTGGTGAGTTTAATTGCTAATCCTTAGATCGGGAGATTAAGTTAATCTTTTGTATCTTCTCTATGTTGACAGTGTTCTGCCTTTAAGGAAGTTCCCTCTAGTTATGTGCCGATTTTGAATCTCGATTGTGCCAATGGTGTTGGTGCTTGTTCCATGAAAAAATTGGTGCCTTTATTAGAACCTTTTTTACAGGTGAAACTTTACAATACCTGCGAAAAAGGAATGGTCAATTTCGAGTGTGGCTCTAACTATGTTGAGACAACATTCCGACAACCTTATGGTTGTGCCGTCAAACCCGATGAACATTGGGCATCTTTCGATGGCGATGCCGATAGAATCATTTTCTATTATCGAAACTCTGACTCGAAACTACGAATATTAAATGGCGATAAAATTGCAGCTCTTTTCTGCATTTACATTAAAGAATTGGTCACTGCTTGTGGACTTTCCGATAAACTGACCATTCAAGTTATTCAAACAGCCTATTCGAATGGAAGAACAGCCGAATTCTTGAGAGATACAGTCGGTGTTCGAGTTGTTTGTACACCAACTGGAGTCAAATATCTTATGAGAAGAACATCAGAATGTGACATTTCTATTTGGTTCGAATCTAATGGACATGGGTCAATTCGTTACAGCGACAGAGCTTACGAAATAGCTAAAGAAAAAGCTTCAACTGATTCAACAGGCTCGGCGAATCTTTTGATTAAAATCTTCAACCTTATGAACCAAGTAAATAACATTCATTAGAAAGCAATTTAACTGCAATACTATTGATTACGAATTCTGATGTAATGACTGTGAATTTATTAACATCAATTAATTCATTTAAGTTTTTCTCATTCATTTACATTTCCAGGCTACAGGTGATGCAATTTCTGATTTTCTTTTGGTCGAAGCGATTCTCAGAGCTAAAGATTGGGACCTTAAAAACTGGGACGCTATTTACACTACTTATCCCTCGAGATTGATGAAATTAAAAGTTCCCGATCGTAACTTCATCAAGACAAACGATATCGCAACAATAATCTATGAGCCCGAATCGTTGCAACAAGAGATTAGTAAATTGATTGAGACTTTCGGTCCAGGGAGTCGAACGATTGTCCGAGCCTCTGGAACTGAAGATTGTGTCAGAATTTACACCGAATCAACTACTCAGGATAATGCCGATCAACTGGGTGAACAAATTGTCTTGTTGATTACTAAATATTCTGGACTGAAACAACAACGATCAGAAAAACTCGATTAAAGTTTGTAAATGATCGGGGTTCAATCATCTATTTACTAGCAAAATATTCACATCTCTTGACGAAAAAAATAAATCGTATATCGTTTTAATCCAGTAGTGTTTCCTAATTGATTTACGCTTCATGTTGATGATTTCACTCAATTAAATCATTCACTTAGATGAAGGGTGAGTTGTAGTACACACCTAAAGGGGAACTATGATGAGAGAGAAAGGAAGCATGAGATGACAAGGAGGAAGAGATAGAGAAGGTTATTGAATGAACATAGAGGTTTTCGTTGCGTAATTGTATTCGGGTGTTGTGGTGATGATTAAGATGAGGAATATGTTAATTGCTATTTGATGGAAAGGAGAGATCTCTCTTTTCTCTCTTGAAATATTGAGTCCACACAATATTTTTACTTCTTATTTCGACAAACAAAATGAGCGTTTTCATCTTAATGAAAGGAATTGTAATCGATAAAGTTAATCTTCTAAAATTGATATCTAATAATTGATTATTTTCAACGAAAACTTTTGTTCGATTTGAATTGAAGAATCGGTTGAGGTTGGAGGTCTCTATTTCGAGTGGTTTAGAGTTATGTTTACTACAATATTCGTCGATTGTTGTTGGCACCACGACATTATCTTTTTCTGCTTCATTATGAGTAGTTGTCACTTGTTTTCTAATATTATTTTCATATTCTTTATCTTTTCCTTTTGAATCTTTCCATAGCATCGACATTGGCGGGTGACGAGGTGTTTGGTTCATTCAGCAGAGAGATTACACTTAACAAAATAGTTCAAACATTTTGAGTTGGATTCCATCTTTCACACGGTCATTGTTAGAACTGAGAAAGCCTCTTATCTAATTAAATCAGAAACCGATAATCATGTTTTCATTAGCCAGGCAAGGAAAACAATAACAAGTTATTTGTGTTGAGTCAATTTATTTTTACCATTTTGTAAACTTTTTGTTATTGACTAATTATTTGAATTGATTTAATCGTGGTGACCACAATTAAAATTAAGTCAATTCATTATGTTATTTGATGTTGATCTTTAAAATGAAATGATCATAACAAAAATATTGATAAAAACGATTCAATCTGCTTTTCAATTTACTTCCATTTGATTTTGATTAATTCGTTAATTTTTTGAAAGTTTTCATGATCAAGTCGTTTTCCTAACAACACTACGAAATCCGCTGGTCGTTGAAAAATATTTTCCCGAGTCATTTGTTTTCGCTTCGGCTGCATGAGGATTGACGATTTCGATACCTTTAAGTGGCGTAAATGCAACGGAAGAAGCAGTTCCCGAAATTTGTCTCTTAATCGTAGTTGTCCCTCCATAAACGGAAGTTTTTTGCATTTGTTTGTGTAAAGTTTTAGAAATTTTAACTTTGGTCTTCTCATCGATCTGTGGAGCTCTGATTCGACCCATAGCCGATTTACCAATTTGTCCAGTGGTAAAACCTAAATCCTCTTGATAAGCATCTTCTTCAATTTCACCAAAGTTCATGCGATTAATTTGTTTTCTAAATTCGGTCATTGCCATTCTTTCCTTAATTCTACGAACACGTTTACCACCTCTCTTTTTACGAGGCTGATCAATCGGCTGAGGTAAAGGTTTCACTTGTTTAACTGGCGGAGGTTCTAAAAGCTTATCTAAAGCTCGTTCAATTTTTTCTCTCAAGATTCTACCTTGTGAACCATCTTGAGATGAATGACAAGCGTCAATTCGAGCGGCAATTGTACATTTATTAGCTACAAGATGAGCTGCTTTTCGCCTGAAATCAGCCGGTGTCTCTTGAACAATGTCCGTTTGAAAGACGAACCCAGTGTGAGGTAAAATTTGTGTCGATGAGAAACCGGCGAGAGTCCGTTTCTTAGAGCCAAGAACTTCAACATTACAAGCAGGCATTTTAGAGAGATTAGTTAATCCACCAGCTAATCCCATTAGTTTAGCAGCGATATTGGCACCAACAATGGCCGATACATTTGGAGCAATAAATGACATCCTTGACTCGACAAATTCAAAAATCTTCAGCTTTTTAGCATTTAATTCAATCGCCATATCACAAGCTTCGGTGACAGAATTTAATTCCTCGGCATTCAGCTGATCCCCTTGGGTTGTTGATGCACTAACACTTAGAATCATAATTGTCGCCTGGGGCAGAAAATTTTGTAATATTTCATTGTTCTTTGCCTTATCCAGGTCATTTCCCAATTCTTTCACAGTCATTAGATATTCCAATGCAGTTGGAATCAATGAATCGAGTTCTGGAAATCTTTGACTGTATTTGTCTTTGACATATTTATGGATTATATTTATATCATCGTCAATGGCAACGGTTAAATTGTTGGTCTCGACAATTAACTTATACTCAGGGTGATCTTCAACGGGTCCATCAAGGTTTCCTTTATTGAAAATGTCTCCACTTTCACCAGCTCTTTTATCAATTTCAGCCATTACTTTTTTCAGCTCATCGGAATCATAAACAGTTGCCAATTTCCTAATGGAACTGGATAGATCTATTTCCATACTTTCTTCCTTTATACAACCAAGAACAGAATTATTTGGTATTTCATCTTCATCACCCATTTCACCGGGAGGATTTGATGATTCATAATAACCAACATCATCATCTCCATCAAGATCAGCTAATAATTCATCAGCTAAAGACATGTTGAAATGTGTTGTTACCTAAATCCAAGATCAACTAGAGGAAACAAAACAAATTATAGGTTAGAAAATGAAAACAATGGATGATATAAAAGTCAAAATTGATGAGAAAACAGATAATTACAAGAAGATATGAAAGATGACGAAGAAAAAATTCTTCCAAGTAATTAGTATAAGCAATAATTCACAAGAAAATCACAACAATTTCACCAAAAATTGTAGGCTCACAGATTAGATTGCGATTGTTTATCACTTGGAACTGTGGATTTCATAGACTGTTGAATGTAATTAAGAACAAAAGGTGATTTCATCAAAGACTGTAAAGGAAAAAGAGAAGAGAAATTAATAATTAGAGAAGAAAAAATCACAATTAAAAGCCGAAAGATGGATACGCAGTTTCTATAAAGAGAAAATGTAAACAAACCAATTTCTTTTCATTAAGAATATCCTCCAAAATGGAACTATCAAAATCAGGAGAAATTGTGGATCCGTTGGCACCAGAAGAAGATGAGGATGAAGAAGATGAAGATGATAATGAAGATGAAGATGCAGATGATTTAGATCGAGATTTTGAGTCCATAACCAAAGAGAAGAGAAAAAAAAATCAACACAAAAAGACCAACGAGATGGAAAACACAAGCGAAGAAGAAAAAAGAACCAATCAAATGACAGAATTGAACCAGAAAAGAATCAAAATTAACCCAAAAATCGAAACCAGATAATCACAGATTCAAGTGGAGAAGTCGAGTAATCAAACTAATCTAAAAAAAGACAATTAAATTAAGAGTAATCGACAAATTGAATCAACAGATCAAAAGACAATCACTTATAATCATGTAATCAATTAAGACTAATACAGTTAATTTATTAATCTGTATCATCAACATCTAATGATATCATTATTCTTGATATTTCGAATCAATCTAGATGAATATATATGAAATTTATAAATTGAAATATTATTATTAACTTAATATTAATGATTCTCTTAATTTAATGAAATATGTAAATATTAACCACCAAAATCATGTTTTAATCAGTAATTAAACTTTTCTTGTCTCAGATTTAACTTGAAAATTAATAGAAAAGTTATCAGTCAATATTAGAGATTATCTAATTTGTAGAACTGAATTGTCAATTTGTTTCGAAACAATTAAAAGATTCAATCTTATTCTTCAGTCTAGATGATAGAAGCTTTAACATGATAAACAATTGATTATCTTATGATAATTAGTTTGATTCATAAAGTTGTTAAGCCATCGGGGAAAAAAGTAAACAAATCAACTAAGTGTACCAATTTGATCTCGTGCTTTGTATTGATGAAATCAGAAAATTAGTTAATCCTCAAGAGGTCATTTGTCATATTCCAAGTGGTCAAACGAAGCATCTTCCTCCATTGATTAGATCCAAATCAATATCATTAAATATCAGATAAAACATCAACAAGGGACAAACATGAAACCGAAGGTGAAAAGAAACGTAACCAATATAAACAGAAATTCCAAATCAAAGACTAACAACCAAACAAGGAAATCTCAGTGCAGGTAAGAAGCCACAAGTAACCAGAAAATGCAAAATTAAAGATGATTAAAATCAAACCAAACTAAATCAAAAGCAATTTCCAAAAACAAAACAATCAAATCAAACGAATTATAGAAAACGAGCCAAATAAACAACCCAAAGATCTGAAGAAAAGAATAGAACATGAGAAAGATTAGAACAACTGATTAACTTACCTAAAAAAAAAAGAAAAGAAAGAGAAAATTTAATCAACCAAATCAATTAATTTACCAAAGGAAAATAAAGACAATTAAAAGTTGTGACAATTTAAAGGAAAAAGAAAATTTGTAAGCTGAGCCGATTTTCTTTCTCTGGTTTAGCATAAAGAGCATAAAATCCGTTGAGAAAATTTGAAAAATTCGGCGCGAGTGTTTCTCTCCTTTCCAGCCAATAGAAATTCAGTTCTCTCTCTTTCCTTTCACGTTCATCCTTTTCTCTTAGATGATTGAATTAATTTGTCTCTTTCTTTTTATGGGGTAAATCAAATTAAATTAAATTCAATTAATTCATCTACTAATCCTTTCCCCTTCTCCAAGTGATTTACTTTCTTTTAATTATGTCTGATCAACAAAGGAAACAATTTGGTGATGTGACCAATCTTAATTCTCTTGCTCATCTTTCCCAAGGTAAATTTTTTCTTCTCTTTTTCTTTCTCTCTTTCTCTTTCTTTATCTTCATCTTCTTTCTTTTTTTCTTTTCTTTGCCCTTAATCCATTGAGCGCCATTTCTCTTTCTCTCTTCAAGTTGTTTTTCTTTTTCTTTCTTTTATCATCATCTTTCATCTTTTCTCATCTTATGTTCCTTCATTTTCTTTAACTTATTATCCTTTTTCATTCATTTCTAGTCTCATATGGTGTTTATCTCTTCTTCTTCTTCTTCTTCTTCTTCTTCGTTTGTGTTCTTTCATTCTCTTCAAGAAGAAAGAAACAAAGAAAGAATAAACTTTTTAGTCTTTCTTTTTTGTCTTTCTCCTTGTTTTCCCTCTCTTCTCTTTCTTCTCTCTCTCTCTCTCTTCTCATCTTGCATCTATCTTATTCGTCCTTTTTTCTTCCCTTACTTTGTTTTCATTATTTTTCTCTTTGTTTTCTCCATTTGTTTCATCATTAACCTTTATCACCATCCTTTATCTCACTGGATTAATTTTGTCTAATCTCTGTCTACTTCTTGTTTGCTTTCTTAATTTGGTTTGTGTATCTTGCTCTTTATCTTGGGATTACCCATACAATTGTTGATATGTATTATCCAGTCGATGATTCTCAGCCTGGTGAAAACTCTACATCATTTAACAATGAGATAAACAATGGATCGTCTTCATCATCATCGAGTCAAGCTGGTAGACCAATAAATCGTTGGACCAAAGAGGTAAGAATCTTAATGTCTTGAATTAAATTCATTTTTAATTGTGTAAAACACCAGAACGACTGTGTAAAAACATTAGCTTGGCGGTTTCACCAAACATCCATTTTCGCGCTTATCTTTTGTTCTTTTATTCTAAAAGTTTTTTTCTTTCTTCCCATGATAAATTTCTGCAGGAAGATGAGCTGGTCATAAGTCTTGTCGAAAAGTATGGTCCCAAGAAATGGACTGTGATTGCCCGAGAGCTGAAGGGCAGAATTGGAAAGCAATGTCGTGAGAGGTGGCACAATCATTTAAATCCTCATATAATCAAATCATCTTGGACTGATGAAGAAGAGCGGACTATTATTGATGCTCATCAAACTTGGGGTAATCAATGGGCTAAAATTGCTAAATTGTTACCAGGAAGGACAGATAATGCGATTAAAAATCACTGGAATTCAACCTTGAAAAGGAAGGCCGAAGCCTTGGAAAGAGGTTCACCAGTTCCACAGCCACGTCGTAAACGACGTAAAAAGCAACATCCATCCTTAGATGATTCAGGAGTCGCCTTATACCCTCAACAATCAACGCTTTCAATTTACTATAGTGATAGTACTAATGAAAACAATGATCCTGATGTTTCAGTTAAACAAGAAGTAACATCAACAACATCACCAATAGAAACTTCTTCAGTTCATCATCAGCAAAACGTTCATCACAATCATAATCACAATCATGATCATAATCATAATCACAATCATTTACACAATCATAATCAACAACAACAACCACAAAACAACCAACCACCTCCACTACAACAAATTCAACAACAACAACAACAACAACAACTACAACCACAGCCACAGCCACAGCCACAACAACAACAACCAATACAACCAATACAACAAACACAGCAGCAACAACAACAACAACAACCACAACTCCAGCAACATCAACAGCACCATTTGCATGAACAAAGCTATGCTGACCAATCGAGTGTATATAATAATAGTAACTTAATCATTTCCAATCAGAATATGAACAGTAATCAAGAAAATGTATATGACCAAGAGAATGTATATGACCAGGAGAATGGATTTAACAATCAACATGTGGAACAAAGATACTTAACAATTTCTTATGATTCAACCTATTTTAGCCAAACTTCATCTTATTCTAATCAGACAACATCACCTTCACCACATGAATTAACAACAAATGATTTAATGTCACATAATCGTATTCCACTTGGTGAAATGAAAGTGATCCCCCAGGATTACGACGAACTGAATGACTTAAGTGATCTTTTACCTCCCCTGAATGCTGAGATGTTAAAAAAGGAAGGAGTTGACTTATCCGGATTTGAACCTGATTCTTTCCATGAAAATTTTCTCATGGAAATGTTGGATTCAATCGACACATCTCCCTCGTCTTTAGGATCTTTTGAGCCATCACACTCAGAAACCAGAAAGTCACAATATAATCATCGTATACAAAGTAACATTAAAGATGTAAGTACATCCCCTCCCACATCCAACCACTCGACTCTTACAATAACATTATCGTAGACAAGAAAACAAAGATCACATATAAACAACACTTATAATATTTTATCAGAGAGAGAGAGAGAGAGAGAGAGAGATTCACTGAAGATATTACTTCAATTACCAAATCAAAACGATCGATTATTGATTTTCCCTCTCTTTTTTGTTTCACTTTTCTCTTCTAGACTCGTCGTCGAACTGGTCCAGCTCGTCGATTGGATTGGGAAAAGGTCACTCTCGGAAGAACTCCCGATCAAATTGAATTAACTCAACAAGCTCGCGCTTACTTAAACTCACAATACTTAAATTGATGAACCAAATTAACTCTACTTGAATACTTTAAACAATAATAATACTTGAGTCAATTGCACGTTTTATTACCTTTAACTGCACAAAAGCAACAACAACAATAACCTTCAACTCCATTTTCTCGCATGTGAAAGAAGGAAGAAGAATTAAATTAAAAAGCCAACAATACACCAAAAAATCATCCGAGAATTGCGTTGAACATAAATTAAACAACATGGACAAAAAACCAAAAGAAATCAACAATCAACGAATGGAAAATAGTTAACATGGATGAAAGAAGATGAAAAAAAAAATAATAATAATCAGATATTTATGCTGATTATCATCATCATTAACAATAAGAGAAACAAAATCAATTCCATCAACAGTTATTGAAAACTTTTTCTCCCTCATTCTCTCACTTCAACTCTTCTCATTCGCTTAGTCTTCAATGGTGTTCACCATAAACAGTCAACAAAAAATATCTCTCTGTAAATTAACAACAAATTGCATCACACATATACACACAAACACAATATCAAATCTTTGCACGTACAACACGTTACAACGGAAACAACAAGAACAAAAAACAAGCTCTATTTTTACAACTTAATTTAATACTCTCTCTCTCTCTCCCTCCCTCTCTCCCTTTATCTCTTTCTCTCTCTTTCTCCCCCTTTATTTTTCTCGTTTGCATGGATTTGAATTTTGGATATTTTTTGACTAAAATCTTGTCAATTAACTTAATTAACGTTGGTCACACGAAACAAACGAAAAATTAATGATTTATCATTTGCAACAAAACAATAATTACACAAACACCCAAAGTTTATATTCACGATATTTAAATGTTAAATGGCTTGTATATTTTGGATTTATAACTTTTTTTGCTTCAATTATCAAAATATTAAACGATGATGATTTTCCAAAGCAATTTAAACAACCAAATTCTAATTTGGATAAAAAAATCCAATCCTAATCAAAAATTAACTCTGACGTTTTCAACTTAAGGTAATTAGAACAACTAATTAGATGATTGATTTAACTTTTCCCATGAGAAATTAACTTCATCCCCAAAGATCATCGGCTAATCAATAAATGATCAACTTGCTCATAATCGAATCGATGAAATCGATAAATTCGTAAACTGAATGGTCAAAAAATCAAATCGAAACAATTGTTTAGAAAGAAAGAAAATTTAAAAAAAAAAGAAATTCGTTTATTATTACACCTCCCCTGAGGTTAATGCTTTAAACATTCAGCATCAGACTTTCGTCTGATGGCCCGAGGGCACTGGGCTAATCGCTCAGTTTACAAAGTTTTTCTTTCAGTATAAATACGATTTTTTGAATATGAATTGTTTTTCTTGTCCTTTGTCCATTTTACATCTTTGATTTACATTTGTGGATATTTTATGATGGGAAAGGAAGCCAGTTCAGCATAAGCGGTGTCGACATTAGGGGTCTTCTCATGATGTTGTTTAAATATTTAGGTTTAAATAGAGAGTTTAAATATTAGAGTTCAATATTAGGTCATTTAAGACATTTTAATCAGAATTTTTAGATAAAGCTATTTTAAATCAAGGAAAGAAAAAAGAGAGAAAATTAGTAAAATGTATCATGTGATACTAACCTTAGATCAGAGGTGGTTGTAGTTATTACGACGCAATAAGAGCCTCAGTTTTAAGAATAACAAAACAAAAACAAAAACTAAAGAAACTGTTGAACTATCGTAATTTTGGTATCAACTTGATCCTTGTGATGAGATGAACAATAATAACACAAAATTTAATTTTAAATTCACAGGTAAAGTCAATTAAATTAAAAATTATCAGGAGCGAAAAAAGTTAATCTTTCTCCTTAAAAGAAATATTCGATTGAATAGTTTCTCGAATCCTCCACAGATGGAGTTACTTGTAGAACAAAATGTTCTCTCATTTTTTTGTCTTTCTGATTTTCTCTTTCTTTTCCCTTCAATTGGATTCTAACCTTGCGAGAGTAAAGTTGAAAAATTTATTCTCTTTTGATTTTTTTTTTTTTCATCTTCTTCTGACATTATCTTCATTTGTTTTCTAATCATCGTTAATAATAAAAAGAACTTGAATAAATTATGATCATCTATTACATTCTGTGTTTCCGTGTGTTCCATCATCATGTCACCTTGTCTTCTGACAAAAATGTGCCCATCATCATTTCGGATTAAAAATTGTGTATGGATTAATTAAGCTGTTGAAATCTATTTTCTTTTTTTGTTTTATTCCTTTTTTCTTTTCACTCTTTTTTTTTGTTCTCTTTTCTCTCTTCAATAATATTCTATTCTCTCTCTTTATTGATAAATAAATATCTACTTTGATTCTGTTTTCTAATTTATACAATCATCATACACACACACACACACAATTCATACACTTACCTGTGTATATGTGAATGTGTGTACACTGAATCATGCCATGGATAATTGTGTTTCTCACCTTGATAGAATTTTCTTCAGCCAAACTGGCTTCCATTGGAATTTATTGGAATGCCTCTAATCCCATTTTCAGGATTGACAACACTGATCACATAATAGATGTAAATAGAGGAAATAATCCTTTTGAATATGATCAGGTTAACATTATTTGTCCAACCTACACCGAAGGATCAAAAGAAGAAGCTGAAACCTACATCATTTATAACGTAAGTGTCATTTTCTAAATACATGTATATATATAAATTACCATAGAGAAAGAGATACCTCGATAACTTGACCAAATAGAGAAGAAGAAGAATAAAAAAGACAAAATGAAGGAAAGAGAAAAGATGATAAAAAAAGTGAAAAGAATAAAAATTGACCAAATTGTCCTTTCTCTTTGATTCTTTCCTTTTTTCGGTGATCGTACAGTCAATCAAATGTGATCCCCTTTAAAATGACTTTCAAGCGAATCACATTGATATTATAAGCTCCTTATAACGATCATCATCATGACGAACCCTCTTTCTTTTCTTTCTCTTCATGTCACCAAACACAACAACATATCTTCTTAACAACAAAACATGTATCCGTCCATACACATCCATTTTATTTATTCTCTTTTCTTTTTCTTCTATTCTCTCTCCGTGTGTCCTCATCCCTCGTCATCTTCCTCGTCTCCACTTAAGTATATTATAAGTTCTGAATGGGTTATTGTTCCATGACAGAAACGGATAATATACTAATCTTTTCAATTTAAGTCGAAAACCATTGAAAAAGGTTAACACAACAATATGGTCACAAAATGCTCTTAATTTTCTTAGAAAATGATGTTTAGTATTTTAAGTTTGTTTCCCAATGTCTTATGTGTGTATTGCTGCGATTAACTCTAAAAAGAAGATGAAAGATGTAAAAAAAAGATAGAGAACAACAAAAACCCATAATAATCAAGTATTTTTTTTTCTTTTCTCTTATATTTACTGTAGCCTTTATTCTGAATGGTTACTAACTTTATGTCTATTTGAATATGTCTCTTTGTGTATACTCATTCTTATTGTGTTGGAGGTTGAACAATATAATAAGATGATTTTCTCAATACCTGTGAAAATTTTTCCTCTCCACTGAATCTCCATCCCACTCACTAAGATTGACTACTACTTTTATCAACTCTCTCTCTCTCTCTCTCTCTCTCTCTCTCTCTCTCTCTCTCTCTCTCTCTTCTCGTTCTCTTCATATTTCAATGATTAATTACCGTTGGAGAGTTAACTCTATGAACAATTGATCTAAATCTGATTTGTTCACTTTTTGAGTTACTCTTACGATTCAAATATTGACAGAGATATTCTTTGTCTATTTATGGTGAATATCATTGAGAATGAGGATAGTTAGAACAGAGAAAAAGTTGTATTAACTGTAGAAATTAATAATGAATCAGCATGAATATCTGATTATTTTTCTTCTTTCATTCATGTAAACTATTTTCTATCCTCTGGTTGGTCGTTGATGCTTTTGTTATATTCATTTTTAAATTAATTAATTCTAATTATCTTGATTGTTGATTCGTATGTTTTTTTTTCAGAAGATCACTTTTTGTAATGATCTAATGAGCTTAACTAGTTCGATGGTGAATTTTGAAGAGAAAAGAAATGAAATTAGAGGGAATATTAATAATGGATTGAATTTGCAAAGGTAATCGAAGTGTACCTTTTATAAATCTCTCTTTCTCCATATTCTTATGATTAATTACCAATGTAGAGTTCTAACTCTGGACTCTATGGACAATTTATATAAATCTGATTTGTTCACCTTGAGTTAGTCTTTCGTTTCACGGTATTAGAACTTGATCTCGAAAAAAAGAATCATCGAGAATTAAATATATGTCAAAATTGAAGGTCCATTCAATTTAGATAATGCTTGAGGAGATTTGATTTATCATATTATCTTAACATTATTAACTGGACAATGACCAACCTTAACAACAGTTTTCCTCTCTCTCTCCTTCATCTCAGTTACTTCAATCTCGATCAAATCTCAACAACAACCAACAACATGATCACCATCCTCATTGTTTGCTAAATCCTTTCATCCCTAAAACATATCATCATTATCATCATTGTTTGAAATAATTAACGTAACAGAAAAGTTAATCTAATTGATTAGCAAACCTTTTTGACCAATTTTTTCAACACGATAAAAATTGAACATTACAAACTTCCTCTTCCCCACCTTTAACCCTTACCAATCCCTTAGGTCACACTCACACTATCAATTTACCATTAGTAAAGGTATAGATATATTATATCAGTCATATGTCCGTGATTAATATTTTTTTAGGACACAAAATGGTCACTAATGTCCATCCTATTGTGTTAAATCCTTTGAACCTTAAAGAATCAACTTGCCGATTATTTTTGTTTAGTATAACCAATAGACTAAAGTTAACCAAAGAAAATCCATAGACAAAAGGAAACACAAAGAGGAAGAAGATCCAAACAGAGAGGATAATGATGCTTAAGAGAAGATGAAGAAAATAAAGCAAAACTAGAAGAGCTAGAAGACAATAATAGTAACAACAGAAAAACTATTCTCATCAAATCATCTCATCTCATCTCTTCCTCATCACCATCATCATCATCATCCTTCTCTCTCCTTTAGGCTACAAAAGATTCGGACTCCTGAAGAGATTGGGTAAAAAATAAATAGGGGAACCATGAACATATTACACTAAATCATGGTTGTCAAAAGCAGCTAAAGATGAGGATGAAGATGAGAAACGTAAAAAGATGATCAACTTGATGATGATGATTATCATTACTATAATGGTTAAAGGTTATTTCTGTTATTGTTACTTTCCCATTGTTTTATTATTGCCTCTGTTTTTCAATGTTTTTTTTACCGTTTTTACTGTTTTCTATCTTTACCTTTTTTACAACTTAAGTTTATTTTCCCGTTTTACCTTTTCATCATATTGACCCTTACCTTGATTCTGGCTATTTTTGCATCATCAATATTGTCTCTCTCTCTCTCTCTCTCTCTTCAATCTATTTCTGTGCTACTTACCTGCGCTTTGTTTGAAGTCATTAAACTTTATTAGGCTGCTTTTTGTTTCTCTCTGTTAGTTTTGTTTATTTGTTTATGTTCAATTACTTTCCAATAGGCTTTTTATTTACTACTTGATAACAACCTTCTTTTTGTTGTTTATATTAATGTTTCTCTTTACCTATTCTCTCTCTCTCTCTCTCTCTCTCTCTCATTTTCTCTTCCACCCCATTCTTTAACTCTCTTCTTCTTTTCTATCGTTAATATCATCAATATTAAAGGAATACTAGATTTTCACCATTGGCAACCTATTGGTGAATTATTTAAAAATATCCTAAGAAATTGTTGATTAGAGTATATGGTTACCTCTTTTATTGATTTTGTTTAACTTGTTTTACTATTTTACCCGCTCTTGATTTTTGCTCTTCTACTCTTCATCCAACATACTCACTTTCATTCACCTTCCTCCCATTTCTTTGGAATAATCAAAAAAAAAATTTCTTCCCAAGCAATTGATCAATTGTTTTCTTGGAAATAGTAGCTTACTAATTTTATGATTACTGCCAACATTAGAGTAGCACAAAAAGCAACAAAACCCATAATAATCAAGTGTATTTCTTTATTTTTTATTTTCTGTTTGCCTTCATTTTAAATGTTCATTTATTTGTGTGTCTATTTGCCTTTGAATATGTTGATTGTTATATTTTGAAATATAATGTAATAAGACTATCTTTTCAGTCCATGTGAAAGTTTTTTTCTGTTTTCTCTCTCCCTCTCTTACCACCACCATAGACTTACACACAAAGTTTGACATTGGTTTTTCAACTTTACCTAAATTGTTTGATGGTGATGATTATGATAATAGTTATTATGCCTGGGAAAATAGTGATGAATGTTACTTGTTGTGTGTTCATTAGAGCGCGAGGAGGTTAACCAATAACCCGATAAGATTTAAGTGTAAAAGGCCAGTAAAAAAAACAGAGTAATTCTAACCATTCTCTCTCAAGAATCACCACCACCAACATTGGGGTGATTCTGATGTGAACCTTTCATATATATTTTTTGGTGTAAAAATTGAAGTTTAAATTGTCTTGTAATTTTAAATTCACTGTAAAAATCTACAAGTTTGAATGGTAAAAGTGTGAGTAGAAACATTGTCAGTATGTTAACAACTCAACAATCAAAATTTAAGGTTAATCATCATCATCTCCTACACCAACTACATGGTAATCATCATCATCTCCATTAGGTTTCTCCACCATTTGATTACCTTGCAATCAAGTTAATTGCAATTTCAAAGTTACAATAGTATATGTATGTGTAGATGCAACAACAACAGCAAGAAGATGATAAAAAAGGATTTTTCAACAGCAAAGTAGATTGAAGTGGTTTAGATGAAATGATGTAAGAAGAGAGAGAGAAAGAGATGATAATAATGATTATGATGAAAGGAAGAGAAATGATGAAGGAAGGAAGAAAAAACAAGAGATCAACATGAGCGATGCTGTTGACAGATTAATTAGATTTAGTCCAATGTGTTAAAGTTAACTAACCCACCCCACCTCATGGAAAGTGGGAAACTCACAGGATTGAGTTTGAAAGGATGAAAAAAAATACTCTTGTTACATGTTATCATCAACGTTTAATATTATAGCAAAAAGTTGTTGTACCTTGAAAAATGTTTCACCTTCAAAAATTAAATTGATTGGAAAAGTTAACAATTTAAGTGTTAACCGTAATCAAGTTTTAATTAAGCCATTTTTTTTGTTCCAGGTAAATAAATTGATCTCACAATTTTTTTCCTTGATAACTAAATCATCATCATCACTATTAGTTATTACTAATTGTGTGTCTTTCTCTCTGTTGATTGTTATTTCCACTCAATTGCACTCCTACTAACCTACATGACGATGACTGATTATCATTATTTTAATCATTATCATAGGTTGGATGATTTTATGCAAATTTCTCATTGCTTTTTCATCTCTCTCACTCACCCTCTCCCTCTCTCAATCTAACCCTCCCTCTGCACCTTTTTTCTCTCCCTTAATGATAATTGATAGATATATAGAATGGACTGTAATTAAGAACAGTTTTTTTTTTCTGTCTGTTGTTGATAATCATCGACAATTAAACTCTCTTGATATATTCATTTGATGATTTCTTTTATCAATCAATCTAGAAAATG